ACTTTAAATTAGCTTATTCGGACGTTATTTCGTGATACGAACCAATTTAAAGTTATTATTTTTGGTGTACACAACCCTTAGCACCTCATTATCACCAGCTTATTTATGTCCTCACTGCCGGAGCCCAGGTCTCCCTTTTGTATCGAATCTCAATCCAATAGCGAGAATGGACCATGACCCAGCACGCGGGCCTAGAATTAGTGGGTTTTAACCACTGCAGATGTAACCGGGACGAACGGCTTAACGTGTCTTTCGAAGCACGGAGGAGCTCGTTATAATCAAATTTTTCACCCATCCTGCCCTTGCGAAAGTTGCTTAACAACCTTATAGCAAACCGAGAGCGCTAACCACTGTAATATAAATTTATTACCACTCAACGGGGTGTTACGTTTTAAAAATCAATTTGCAACACTCACGATTTCGATAGAAACAAAATTTTGATTAATAAATCATATCAAGTGTAATGATATAACCATAATTTGAATTATGTACTGTCTGCGGAGATCAATAAAAAGCCGGCCAATGAGAGTCGAATCGCGCGTGAATAGTTCAGTACCATATAAAACGCCAAAAAGCATTATTTTTATTTATTTTTTATTTTTACCCTTTACATACGCAACTCAAAAATTAAGCAATATAGTTTCTGTGGCTTTTTATCGGTCCTTTCTTTTTTTCTTTCAATATGTCTAAAGTGTATTTTGAAATTAGGTAAATATTAAAATAATAAATAAAAATATATTTAATTACCTACCAAATAATGAAATAAGAAAAAACCAAACCGTGCAATGATTATAATCGTACTATGTATAATCAATCTTATATTTATTTATTTATACACATTCACGGGCGCCAGAAGTTACGTGACAAATCCCATTTTTTAATTAAAAAGTGCTGCATAATTCCTTCGAACACAAAATGATCCGAAAATACGAGTATATTTATCGATTTACACTACAAGAAATGCAGAACACAATTTCTTATTTATTTTAGAGGGAACTTTGTGTTTTTTTATATAAAAAAATCATTAAATTAATTAAACCCTTACAAGTAAGATGTATTCGTAGTTTTCAATCTAATTTTCAATGACAGCTTATTTTAACGTTATTTCTTTGTACAAAATAATCGAAAAAAATAATTGGGTGTGTACACGGCCTCTTCAATCGCATTTAATTTGAGTTCAGTAAGTTATTAATTTTAGACCCACTAGTCTTATATTTAGTCTTTATCTCTATCATTAAGAGGGCGTCTAAAAGTCACTAATTCGAATTAATTGCAAAGAAAAAAATAAATTACAATCAATATAAACTATCATTATTATAATAAATTAATTAGCTTTAATTATTTCATCAAAAAATCATGTTCTATTTCGCCCATGCGTCGCTTTACGGAAAGAATATGGGAAGTTTCATTTACGTTTGGGCACACAATTAATATAATGTTGTAATATTCGATGCGAAATCGCTAACAAGTAACGATTGAGATTGATTAATTAAAGATGAAGATCTAATAAAATAATCGTTGATTTAACAATGAGGAATTCAATTATAAAATAGAGATATAATGACTGATGGACATCATTATGACGGATTATGATGAACGATCACATTATCAAATTTCAGTTCATAAAATATAATGGTTTTAAATATTGAGATATGCAATCTGCATGTGTAAGAGGTTAATCTTCGATCGGAGTCAACGGTGATTACTAACTAAGGGGCCGTCCATTAATCACGTAATGTTTTTCCAGCATAAAAAAATCCCCTCTCCTTTTAGGTGATACATGGTATGAAGTTTAAGACTAACCCACCTCCACCCGTATCACGTGTATTTTTAGTACCTAAAACAATCTTAATTTTTGACGCCACTTTTCGGCTTCATAATCGGAAACAATGGTTGTCATGGTAACATTTTGATACCCCATAAAATCTTACACTCCCATTTTTATCCCTTTAAGTGCTAGTTTTCGGGTTAAGATATAACTTATTTATTACCTTCCTAGGGTCATAAACTACCCAAATACCAATTCTCATCGATATAGATCCATAAATAAAGAAGTTTCATACAAACTTTTTCGCCCTTCTTGACCCCCTTTGGTATGGAATTTCCAAAAATACGTTCTTAGTACACCTCTACGTATTAAAGGTAATGTTCCCTACAACTTTCAAGTTTCTACGACCAGCGGTTTTGGTTGTGCGTTGTCTGTCAATCTGTAAGTCAGGACATTTCCTTTTATATATGTATAGATTTACATGATAAGTAGTGTAATGAGACAGATAGGAACAGAGGATTTCGTATTACACGAAATAGGATTTATATGCTTTGCTATCCATCGCCGCTCATCTCTGATGGCTCCTTTTCTCGTACACTCGCATTCAGTCTTCACTAGGTAAGTACAACGCGCCTGACCTTCCGCGTGGTCTCGTGCCATCTACCATTCCCTGCAGACAAGATGTTCCACAGAGTCATTTTCTCGCTGAGACATGTCCAAAGAAAGTGAGGATCAGAGCAATAGAGTCGGTTACTGAATTAAGAAAAAATACTAAATCTCAACTGATTATATATATAATAAACTTAAGTTATATATAAATAACTTAAGCTTTTTATTTTTCACAAGGCAAAAGGTCCTAGTTTTTATCAAACTACTTTCAAGTGATCCGTTGATAGCAGTTTTATAAAAACTAGAACGAAAATCTTAAGTGATGATTAAATACAGTTTGAGACGTACTTGACAAAAATGAAAGATTATTTAATTATGCATTAGATAAAATCGGCTTCCCCTGATAAACGAGGACTTTATGACGCTGCCAACTGCAGAGCGACCGCCTCACTCCTCTAACTGTAACTCTAGCCATGGGATACGACATTTTAGCGATATCATAGCGCTATTTCGTTTCATTTTACTACTTTGACATATATTTAATGACGAAGAACGAGTGACAAAGAATGACAAATCTAAGCGATAAGGCCACCGAGATTTTGTATTTTTCTCAATTCAGAAACAGAAACCGGTTTCGCAGCCTTCCATACTACAGTAAAGTATATAATATTATATATCTATGATAGTATGGATTAAGGTTTTTATCGTACTAGCTACGCCAGCGGCTTTGCCCGCGTGGTCCCTAGGGAAATGTTTGGTGGGATTTAAAGTATCCTATTATCTAAGTCAGCTAATACCCTAATGTATACCAAATTTCCTCAAAATCCGTTCAGTTGTTTCGGTGTGATTGACAAACATCCAAACAAAGAAACTTTCACATTTATAATATTAATAGGATGCTAAATAATTTCGGTTTGTATAACAATAGCGAGTCGCATTAAGGACTACACAGCGTCCCGTTAAGGTCGTGACATGCACCTGACGACCCATATTTCTGGACCATTCCGTGAACATTTCTTAGGTATCATCACATCATTAGAGCAACTTTAAAGCGCAATCATGAGCCCTATTGCCTACACTTAAGGTCGAGATCCTCTCAATGATCTAGTTTTATGGAGTTTGAAGGCACGACGCGCTCCAAATCAGATGTCACGTTGGTCACGATTAATAAAAAAAATGTTAAGCCATAGATCTGACATTACATAGACAGGTGTAAATAAATCCATAGTCATTGCCATGGTTATATACTGCTATATTTATATGCGTATCTATTCAATATTTTTTATGTGCGCTTTGCCCACATTAATTATAACCTACTTGTGTCATCCAGTTATAATGTAGCCTCCTGTTTTTAAAATCGACCCAGTATTTAGTTTCGGTGCCTATTGGATGCAAACAAACAACCAAATCTTTCCTCTTTTTACAATATTATTAGTATAAAGTTCACTAGTTAATACCTACTCGTTAGATATAAAAAATACTTAGATAAAAAATAAGAAAAAGGAAATTAGAAAAAAAAATGTTTAACATCTAGCCGGAGGTTTCAATCAATACTTTGAGAGTAAACTTACAAAATTAGAGTTCAAAGGAATGTCCCAAAAACGGCCGGATCTATGTACGTGTAGTGTGTGAAAAATTCACTGATTACTATTGAATATTCACACATTTAACTTGGTGGTTATTGAATAGGACGAGACAACATTAATAGAAATTGTGTTACAGTTCTATTGTAAAAGTTTATTGTTTCATAAAAAATTCAGGGGAATCAGATAGTTGGATATTATTTATAGTATTTTCACCTGATTTATGTTTTAGTGTAATAGACCCGCCTAAGTCCCTAGCCAGGCCCGTCTTTATACCCTTCATGCAGGGGATGCAATGCACACGGGCGTCGCGCTTTGGGGAAAGCTGCGCCGATGATGGTCTAATCTTGTAGTACGGTACTATAACATTAGACCATCATCGGGATATTCCCTGTAATGGGGGGGCGCCCCATTATCCCCTATTATCTTTATCAGATAGCCATCTTCCAGGCATTTTTGCACAACCGTTTCTAAAACTCCAACTGACGAAGATGCAAATAGAATATGTCAGATATCTCATTAATTAGATTTTAAGAATATCTTTATCTGCCTGCTAAGACCTAAAAGACATAGTTACATATATTCAGATTTATGTTTTTATAAATAAATAAACCAAAACTGAAGGTCATTTTGTTTTTTTTTTTAGCTCGTTACGTACGGTTGCGAAAATGCTGAATAATTATGTTGGACAGGCCTGCCCTAGACAGTTGCTTAATTAGCTCATAGGTCAATCCGGCACTTGGCACAAAATAGATTGGAATATAAAATAGAGTGGAAGGCAGCTCCAGGATATGATTTGTTGTTTGAAATGCAAATACAGCAAGTAATATCAGTTGGAACAGAAACTTAAGTTCCATATTGTCTTATCCTTTACTATGTCCTATTGAGATAAGTAATAACTGCAAACCTTTAGCAGAATAGCCGCTAATGTCATGTAAATTAATTATGTTAAACTTTTACCCAACTGGATATAAATATTTTAAGATATTATTTATAAGTATTTAAATTTAATGTAATTTTTATTTGTTTTATTGTTTCAGTCGGCAGTCTCGTGCGCCGCGCAGCGTATATTCGTACAGAAGCGCCGTGGCGCCATCTGTTGCCTCAACGCATAGATCCAAAGTTTCCAGAAAGGTAAATTGTACCTGATGGTGTTTTTACACCGGTCAATAACATCCGCGTGTAGCGTGCGGGCTAGTTCTTTACCTCTATTTCATTAATCGGTCATTAATTAATTGAAAAGTGTGATGATTGCGCATACTCCGCGTTCTAACTCATCGACAAGTGTAAATGAGCCGTTACAGCTTTTAAAAACAACAACGCATATATGACTTGCTTCTTTTAGAAAAATTGCCTTTATTTTAATTTTATAAAGTTGTGAAGTAACATCAATGAGATAAAGACAAGGTTTTCAGCAAACCTTTTTTAGAACGAATACTTTCCATTTGTGTTATATTAATTGTATGATGTTGTCGTGAAGGCGGGTGTGAAGGTAGACGCGATGGCGGCCCCCAACCCTTTCTGTCCTAACGTGAAGGGCATGTGTTGCCTGATGCTGCTGCTCAACCTGGGCCTCATACTCGTCACTCTCGGCTTCGTTATTGTGCTGCAATTCTTCGAACCACTCTTTGTCTGGTGAGTATTATTTTACATGAAAACTATGACTGATATATATTATACAACGCCAGGATAAAATTACCATAAAAAAATTAATGACACATTCAGGAAAGGGTGTTTGTAATAAGTGTAAGAGAATTTTTGGAAGCAGTGATATTTAATTATTCAGTTTTAGATTGCTCAAAAGCTCGACATATTTGTGGGCATAACGTATGCCATGTAACGCCGTAATTTTATGATTACGAAAAAAATAATACGTGCTTAATATTTTTTAACACTACCTGACGGAGAAACAAACAAAATTTAGTCGTCATCCCTATTACTAATTAACTTGTGGTGGGTGGGGTGGTAAAGCAACCACAGCTCGGTCCAAAGTAGTTCTTGGCACTTAGAAGCTTAATAATTTGCTAACGGCTCACTATATCTAAAAACGGTCTTCGCATACTTCTAATATTTTTGAAAGACCTATCTAGCAATATCCCACACAATATAGGGATACCATAAAAAAATCATTACTGTTATGTATTTAGTGATAATCGCAAGGTTAAGACAAATCGATTGACATCAAAATTGGTCTCTACAATGCCATATAGGAACATACATACATGAACTCAATAACACATTACCCTCCTTTGCTTTGCGCAGCCCGACTGCGAAATTAAAAATTAAACCTAACTAAATCGAATTATCGCCTCTGAAAGCCCCTGCATATTTAAAGTCATGAAAATTATTGGAGCCGTTTCCGAGACTATAATACAGTAATTGCTTTTTAAGTTTTAGATAAAAAAATATAATTGCGTTAAATAATGTTAAATACATTAAACTTTATTGAAAATAAAATAAATGTTTTTTTGTAAAACCTATATTTTTCCTCATTTCTTCAAATATTGTGATATGAATAAATATTACAGTAAAACAGTAAACACACAAAGGATCTCGGGATATTGATATTCATAAACTCGCGAGATCTCGCCCGAGTCCCAAATCCCAATCTCGCGAGATAGCATTCCCTATGAAGTACATACTCGGATATACTGCAGACTCAATAGGCTTAGAGCCTGTAGATTTTACAGGCAGTATAGAGGAAAATTATTTTCTGTCTTTTAAACGTTATAGACAAATTTCTTTCTTATTTACAGTCGATAAAAATACCCAAGTACTAAAAAGCAGAGCGGTTATCACACAACCTGTTGTTATTAACTGCATTTCACGGTGTTCGAAACCATAATAAACTTTCTTCCATGTGAAGACACGACGAGACATTTTATTACCCACTGTTCATTTAAACCACACACGACGCTCGACAGTATTATTACTCAAAATCGTACAGTTCGTGGCTCACATTCACACAAGGTGACAATGGCTGTGCGCACATTAAAAAACACTTAACCATTATAGAAAACAGCTTCCATCCAACGGTAAATGTAATTTAGGATGAGATTCGTATGAATTCTTTCTCTTGTTGTAATGTTTTATGGGGCCACTGTTCAGCTTTATCTGTGTCACAGCGCTAGTCATAAAACACGATATAGATTTTTCACTTAAGACCCATTTTATCTGCTATCGTTCACATTTTAATTAACCTCCTTGGAAGTTATAATATTAAAGAAAAATATTAACAGTAGTATCTATAATGGTAACGCCAAACTTATTTGTTTGTTTGCATCGAATAGGCACCGAAACTACTGAATCGATTTTAAAAACACCTACGGGAATCTACATCACACTCGGGTGACATAGACTAAAATTAAACTAAAGTCTGTAATAAAAGCCTAACTTCTGCCTACAAAATCATCAGCTTGTTAAAGGCGCAGGCCTTCCTTATCATCATCATCAGCCCTTTTTACGTCTTCACTGCAGGGTATGTAGTCTTCCTTATAGATGGTTATGGCTAATGGGCCATGACCCTCCAAAGCAGATTGGTGAGTGCAAATGCAGTTAGGACCAACAGCTTAACGTGCCTTCCAAAACACGGAGTAGTTCGAGATAGTATTTTTTTGTCATCCGTCCTGTGACCTATCCTTAAGAAACTTGCTTAACAACAACGTTCACGAGCCGCGGCGCTTATCCACTACGCCACCAATCTATGGATTTCCCCATAGAATGAATCAAATAGGGAAACGGGTCCCCACAATGTGAATTGGTGGGTGTTGGGTGCGACGATATAACTGGGACCAATAGCTTAACGTAGCTTCCTAAAGTAGCACGAGATAATAATGTATGGTCATACACCCAGAGCTTTTAGTTTCAGAAAATATTTGTGATCGCCACCCAACCCATCTCGGTTTACTGATTTTAGAAATTGTTGAAGCCTTTTAAACAGTTAACTTATGTTCTATTTCCAGGATACTTGGCATCGTGTTCCTGATCTTCGGTTTCATAACCCTCGTCGGTAGTCTTATATACTGCGTGGTACTGTGCCGGGAGAACCCCTATCCTCGCCACCCGGAAGACTTCTACTGGACCCACCACTGGTCCAAGACTATAGGGCCATCAGAAATACACTACAGTGCGAGCGAGAAACAATACAGACAAAACGGGAACGGCGATAGATATAATAGATATAATGGAAAATATTCAGACAGAGAAAGCACTAAAGGTTACTCTGATAGAGAAAGCAAATTAAGTAGGTACTAAGAATACCTATTTGAATTGAGTACTATAAATATTTTAAAGGACCAGTGGTCATTTTGCCAAACGTTATAAAAGAAGTATGATACAGTTGCATCAAAATAAAAAAATACCGAATTATGTTTTCAAACTATTTGTTGAATCGAACAAACTTGTATTGAAAAAGTATTTTTTTAGATTACATAAATAACACAATAAAATATAATTCTATAATTCTATTGGACTTTTCGAATCAAACCGAGATATTTGTTTTTATAAGAAAATATATATATAAATATGATGAGAATAAAGCATCATTTGTTCAATACTGTACCTAATTACAACATAGTAACAATATGCAATTAAATAATATATTTAATGATTTATCGTTATATCTGTAAATAATACATTAAAATAGTTTGTAAAGCACTCTTCATGTCGAATGCCATATTATTATAATTACCAGTAATTGGAAGAGTGTTTAGAGCTTTATAATAATTATAATTACCTATAATAAATAATAATTTATAAGTATTGAAATATATGTGTTGGTATTTGTCTGAATAAACTGCTCTTAACCCTGTGAAGTAATCCCAAATAGTTATATTGTCTAAAAATATAATAATAATAATTAATATTAAGACTATATTGTGTTTCATTTTTTTGTGGATGGAAGGCATAAACAACTATTGAGATTCAAGAAGAAAGTAGCCATTATATATCATTTCTAAGTTAGGACTAACAGACTAAAATATGTTAAGTTTAATCATTTATTTAATATTATTGAAAATCTTTTCATATCGAACTTTTAAGAGCATTTACCTAATCCCTTTAAAAATAGTAATATTTGCTGAAATATTAAAAAATATTTTAGTCGATAATATCCTTATTATTCGGAAATCGATGCAGTCACTACGATAGATCCTACAGACAGACACATATATTGTAGTTACTACAACAATTTTCAATTCAAATATAGGAAAAGTATAAAAAATTCAAAACAATTTTAAAATAATTTAGATAAAAACTGAAAAAAAAATTAAAAAGAAAAAAGATATGTCAGAAGTGGGATTCGAACCCACGCCCTCAGAGAGGACCAGAACGCCCAACCCGCTTTTCGCGGGCAAGTTACCTTGAGTCTGGCGCCTTAGACCGCTCGGCCATCCTGACGACAGACTAGAAGTCGAAATTAAGTGTTAGATTCCACAAGTATTTATTTATAAATATTGAAAAGAATTTATCAAAATGTGATAGTTCATATTTTTCTAAATCTCTTGATAAATATTATACGTCAATTAAACACGTAGTTCGGTACCTACAGAAATAATATCATTAACATGGAACATACTGTATGTTGTATGTTACATACATATTGCTATATCATTAAAATTAACAATTTCACTGAGAAATACAATAAAAAAAAACCTTGTATTAGAGCACTGGCGCCATCTATAGACAGAATTATATAAGCAGCAACATTCGTGATGGTAAAAATCATAGCAAAGACACATTCATACCAAAACAGGTCTCATTCAGTCAAATATGTAACACCTCGACAGGCGTTACACATTTGACTTTGATCCATAATTCTTCCAATTCTACAAATTTCCATTAAAAACTACTATAAAATAAAGTGTAAAGTATTATTATAACTTCGTATACTAATTTTATTTCCAAAGCTTAAAAAATAACTGAGATATATTATTACTTTAAAAAATAATCGTCACCAAAGCCATTTTTTAGATAAGATACATAGCTAATATATACAAATATATATAAATCAACATTTAACTTTGATCCATTACCAATTTCCATAAAAACTACTAAGTATTATTATAACTTTGTATACTGGTTTAATTTCCATAGCTTGAAAAATAACTGAGATATATCATTACTTTGAAAAATAATCGTCACCAAAGGCATTTTGCAAACACCTCCTGTTTTAGCTAAGATACATAGCTAATATATACATCTATCAACTACTATTACTACCCTCTACAATGATGTAGGTCACGATATAGGTTCCTGTCTGGAGCAGTTTCACTATGGAAGTACAACTATACCCTTTTAAAGAAAATAAACTTCTTAAATACTGTTTTAAGAAATAAGATAGATCAAGCATTAATTTCAGAATCTGAGCTGCGCTGCCAGCCTCAAATACACGTACAACTCCGTCGAAGCTCACAAGTACAAAATCGAAACCTCCGTGGAAATTTTCCACAAACATAAGACCTCAGGTCAAGAATTTATTTCATAATCCAAAAGGGTGGCGCTGATGAGCTGATACGAAGATATTTCCAACGATATCTTGGAGTATATATACAAAAAAACAGTCGAATCGAGAACGTCCTCTTTTTCCAAGACATAAAGACAGTCGCGACTAGTACATATTCAGTATTATTAATAAACAAGGTTTAGCACTGGAGTAAATTTTCGCTTAGACTGCACTTAGTATTAGTCAAAATTCATAATATTATATAGAGAATTAGCAAAGGTTAACCTAGTATCTGGTATTCCTTTAATGGAATATTCCCACGGGATTAATATTCACTCTGAAAATGTAGTAGGTTTGCTTATTCTCTGATTAATATAAACTTGGACTAATACTAAAATTGCAATTTTTGCGTAAGTTTGATCTAACGCTAAACCTTGTTTATTAATAGCACTGTTTATGAATATAAATCTGCCAACAATCCAAAATAAAAGACCATCATAAAATTGTTCATTTATTTACAATTGTTTAAAATTAACAAATTATACTATCAGAAATATAAAATGAAACAATAGATATATCAATAACAGAGTATCAAACTCATTTGCCATAATGACATGATCAAATTTAAGAAATTTCTTCAAAAATCGAAATGAAATAATACTAATACATTACAAAAATAATTTATCAATATGGAATGGAATAATCCTTTAATGGAATATTAAAAAATGGATAGTTAAGTTATGAAACAAATGTTGTATGATAATTAACGAAATGCGTATTTTTTACTGAATATAATAAATTAATAGAAAAGAATGCCTTGCAAAAAAAAGCAGTTAAGAATACTAGAAATTTAAAACAATTCATTATTTACAAATACAAAAAATGTTATTCAATATTTATTTATAATCAAATTTTAATATTTCGATCTGACACTCAAGAGTTCAGAATTAATAGAAACACTGTCGAATTTATGTCAAATATAAATATTACTTAATGAGTAATTGTGCCTACTCTATAGTTGATGTAGCGACACGATAAATTGACAAAGAAATATTAACTATGCTACAGGACTTTCAAAATCTAAAAATCTACCAACATATTAAAGATAGAAAACATTTCGCTTCACATACGTGAATAGTCATGCCATTCCATCGCGTCACAACTCAACGAGTCTTAATGTAAAGGAGATTACGATACTCTCCACATAATAGACGAATATTAAATTACACTAAACGCCATTAATTAATTACAACTATAGGCAATATCATTAATATTCACTACAAAAGTGAAATTGTCAATTCATATCAAATTATGTGCCGGCCTCAGTCAATGAGCTGCCGAAATACCTATGACATCAAAAATGTATAAAAAAATAATTTGAACTGTAGTAAATACAGGCGAAATATAAAAACTAGTGCGTATCAGGAACTGAAAACGCTTCGCCTCATTGTGCTTCCGATTTACAAACAACGGTTCTTTATCATACAATTCTGGATCTGAAACAAAATATTAACATCATGAGCTTCCAAAAATATATAAAGAGGATGACTTCCTTCACAATAATTCCAACTAATATTATAAATGTAACTCAGTCATAGTTGATCTTGAGAATAGCGTGAACTAAAATTTATGACAGTACGAGTAATCATATTTCTGTGGCACCCCAAAAAGAGATGCCAGTTTAGGTAGATAGATAAACTCTTCATTGCTCACACACAAATGAAAAGTTTACAGAAAGTTTGTAAATTACAGAGATAGGTTAGGTGAAGGATACTTGCTTTGGTAATAATCTAAAAGAGGGTACACTAAACTAGCAGGCTAATAAAATTAAAGCCTATGTCATCTGCATATGATGTAGTTTGTAGTGGAAGAATTTTCATGATCGGATCAGTATTTCCAAAGTTTACCCCCTACAAACTTTACCTTTTTATAATATTAGTTATAGGTAAAGACAGCAAAAGATCGTAATGACCTTACCCACAGATTGTAGTGAGTGTTCGCTAATCGCTGTCGTCATCGTCGCTGAAGTTATACCGAGGCTGGTTCTTAGCTCTCGGTCGCGAAGAGGCCGCGCTCACTGGAGGCGGACTGTCTATAGAAGCGTCAGAATCACTAGACGACTTCTTCTTAGCCTTCTTCTTGGGATTGGCCTTCTTCTTATCCTATCGCATAATACAAACTCTTTTAATATAGGAAGAGGTGACGCGGTAAGGAAGGCTGACTTACTCATATATGACTATCAGTAAATACAGGGACCAAAACATGTTTGAACTTTAAAAATAATGACTTAACTCAAATTTACAAATACAGACTATTTACTGACTTCGAAATTTAGCCTTCTTATTTGACATTAGTGAGCAACATCTGTTGTGTCTTATCTAACTGTGGCTAACTAGTCCTTAATTGTTAACATTATACAAACAACCCTGTATATTCTGATATTCTGAACTGGGACAAGTAAATTACTATTTTAATCACAAGTTCGTTGTAAAAAAAAATATTAGGCATTAATATTCTAAAATCGATTGTACAAGTATGATAGATAACTATATTCGAATCCGCTAATTTTTGTTATTAGCAACATATAGCAGATTGTGAAATTTCTTAGTCCCTTTAAGTGTTATTAACGGTATTGCTACTTTGATGTATCTTTAACAATTGAAGACAGCTTTAAATAAAATTTACAATTTTAAGAACTGATGAGATTTTTTTTTTCTTTCTGCTTCATTTGAACACAGCCAGTAGTAATGAATCATTAATTTCAGTACTCAAGAATTCTCTGGTCATCATACCTTTTTACTATCAAATATACTGTCATCGTCATCACTGTCTTGACTGAGTAACACTTTAGCTGGTCGTTTCTTGGGTTTATCAGTGGGATTCAGTTTTCGTTTGGTTGGTTGTTTCTTTACAGGCACTTCTTCATCACTTGATAACACGGTTGTAGGATAAGCGTTGTGGTTAGCTTTTGGTTTCTCCATTTCTTCCTTTTTGGATTCTTCTATGAGGGAGTCGAAGAGACAATCTAGAACATAATGGATATATTTTTATAACAAAATACATAAAAAAACACTTGGTACATGAATTTTTCCTTTCAATTCAGAATGTATTATTCATAAAGTTTCCGAACCTTTAAAAAATCGAATTTCCAAAATGTTTCATTCCCAAGATGACAAATCTAATATCATGATGGGTTTGTGAAATACACTGATAAATAATATGCAGCGAATTGTTAGTTTAATAGTTTTAAGACAGGCTATGAGGACTTATTCCTCTGGCTTGATATATGTACATTATTCATAATTTTATTCAAAACCCATCATTATTGTACTAAAATTGTACATTTTGGGAATTGGACCTTCTGAACAGCAAGAGATTTTTTTATCAGTCCACCTCAAGATAATATTACACACAACTTATATCTTAACGAATAACTTAGAAAAAAGATTTGATTGTTTTTGCATGGAATAGACTCTGAAACTATTGGACCAGCTTTAAAATTCTTTCACCTATGGGAGGATACGTTATACGCGGGTTAAAAGCTCTAATTGCTGCGGGCGTGGGTTGCTTTTAGATACAACTATGAATGCACTAACCTGAATCCATGTCTGCGGGTTTCTTATTCTGTTTGCTCGCGGGTAGTTTAACGTCATCATCATCACTATCGTCGAGTTGCGTGGGAGCGGCGGGCTCGTCCTCTAACTTGTTGTCCAACAGTTCCGGCTCAGAATCCGACGCGGACTCATCTGAACCATCTTTGTATTTTTGCACCTGATATTTTTACATTTATCATTTTATTAATATTTTCTCATCAATAGTCACCAGTCAGTATACATTTAATAAATAAATAAACATACTTTAGTTGCGGCCCTCCGTGCCGTGGTCCTAGCGGGTGGTGGTGGCGCCGAGCTGAGTTCCACATCGGAGCCCGACATCTCGCCGGAACTGCTGCCGCTGAATGACATCTTTTTCTATACGTAAACAATTAAAACACGTTAAAAATAATAATATTTGAAGGTCACGAAGGTACTATGACCTCCGATGTAGACTTCTAGGTTTCGAGTTCTATCTCTAAGGTCCCGGGTCCAATTACCGGATGAACCCATCCGAATATGATCATTTCTATAATGTTTCGAGTTTGAGTGTTGTGACACTATCGTAATACGAGGGCTCATCTTGAAATCTGGCAATGTTGTTGTATAATTTTTATTTATTGATGCATAAAATCTAATTTGAGAGTAGTTTCACGCATAAAAAAAACATAAACCCCGAGCATATATAATCACAAATTTATAGATATCAATACATTTTTAGATGTCCCAAATTACTTTCTTAAAACCCCAAAGCCTGCCAAGAATCTAGAAGTCAATACCATTAACATGGCTATCTAGTAACTAGTATGAAAATAGTGAAATTGCTCTTTTTATATTGACTTGAATTAAAAAGGTATTTTACTCCACCTTCTTAGGCTCTTTTTTGAATGTGAGTTTAGTCTGTTTCAATCCATCCTTTTCTGCCTTGTCAGGTTTTTCAACTTTTTCTTTCTTAACGCGAGAACGCGGTTTCTTCTCACCGCTGGATGGACTTATTCCTGTTGGATCATCCTGGAATACATAATTAATAGGATATAAAAATTTATTATTTAAAAAAATTGTTGTAAATGAAAGTAATATAAACTTGCAAAATATTTTTCAATTCCCCCTGTCATTCTTTTCATAAGGCTTAGGTTACTTCAACAGGCTATTATAAATTTAATAAAAAAACAAGACATGAAAATCACCTTAAGATAGTCATAAGAAGATTTGCTCACTTTAGACAATCAAATTGATTAATTTTAATGTAAATAATATATTTCTCTAGGAGAATTATTATGGAACCCAAACAGAGTAAAGGACTTAGTAAATAACCAGCTTACTAACCGGATCATATTCTTTTTTGATTTCCTTCTTGATCTTCGCTTTCTCCGCCGCCTGAATCCTCTTGATAAGGTCTTCGGATATCTTAGGCTCCACTCGTCTTCCGTTATCCGATGGTGCGATATCCATGAGAGACTTGCGATTCTTTTTGCTTGCATTCTATAAATATTTAAAAAAATGTAAGTATACATCTTGTCTTCATATACAGCAGCTTTTCACAAAATAGGCGATAATGTCCCCAACTGGGTGCAGCAGGCCTAAAAGGAAGCGGTAAGAGACCCAGAAAAAAATGGGGGCGTCGTGTAGAGGCTTAAAAGTTAACTTGAGACTCATATATTACTGCATTCAGGTCTCAAGTCAACTCTTGCTGATTATTGTAAATCTTGTTTAAGCTCCTAATATAGTAATATAGTTCAGAATAATTAATTTAATTTGAAGTTATGGTGGTCTTAAGTAATTTAAAAAACGGAGACGCTAAAACAGAATTTATTTTCAAAGAGGGCAGGAGACGAATTAAGTTTGTGAACCCCCTATATACAGGTGTATAAAATATTCAAATATAATGGAACAGACAGTTTTCATTAATGTGGTATGTTTAGTTAAAGAGGATATAGAGAACAGAAGATATACAATGGCTTGTAAGCAAAATCCTCTCTCAGAGAGAAATATGGCATTGACATTTTTTTTTTCAGTCAGTTCAGTCTCTAATGCCTATATGATTTAATTGATATTGAAAACATTGGCTTTAATGATGGTTTGTGATCTCTTCAATCATAATGTGTTTAATGTTAAATAAACTTTTTACCTTCATTCTCTCCATCTTCGATTGCATTGTAAAAATAAAAAAGGAATTACTCACCAGTAGAAAAATATGTTTGTTTTACTTTCTGTTATTACTTGGAGGTTTGCATGGCATAGTAATAATTAGTTGTTACTGATAAACATGATAAATAAATTTACAAATATGTCTTTTTCTATATTTTTTACATTAAGAAGGTTACTCATATCTATCGGCCGGTTTCTGAATTGAGAAAAGCACAAAATCTCAACTGATTATTCGCAATAACTTAATTTTTTTACGTTTCATATGGTAAAAGGTCCTAATTTTGTTAAATTGCTATCAATTGATAATTAAAAATTATAAATCAGTAATGAAAACCTGTTTAATTGACGTTTAAAATGGCTTAAGCACGGTTTGAGACGTGCTCAACTTCAAATTCTCAATTCAGAAACCGGGCGTATATCTATCTATAATATATAATATATCTATACTAATATTATAAAGCTGAAGAGTTAGTTTGTTTGTTTGAACGCGCTAATCTCAGGAACTACTGGTTCGAGTTGAAAATTATTTTTGTATTGAATAGACCATTTATCGAGGAAGGCTTTAGGCTATGTAACATCACGCTACAACTATTAGGAGCGCAGAAATAATAGAAAACGCGGACGAAGTCGCTGGCGACCACTAGTATAAGATATGCTATAACAATCGTTGACAATTATAGGTGATACGGTCTGTCAAATAAAATAATCTTGTGAAGTCTGTTACTCACAAATGCTTTGGCAGATTTCTTGTTGGTAGAGGACTCTTCCTGGCGTTCCTTCTCCTCGACTTCTTCGAGTTTCATCAGAAGCGCGTCCAGGTCATCCCTCCACAACATTGACGGAGTCTTCTCTCTGAAATAAATTGATTACATATAGTGTCTTGATTATAATCTGTCTGTCCAGGTCATGTCCTCCTATAGGCACAGAGGCACAGGCCTTTAATATAAATAGAATCACGTAAGAGCGGGCCCAATGAGGAAAGACCAGATGATAGATGAGTCTCTGCAAACAGACCAAACGCATTAACCACCGCTCTCTTCACATAACCTAGTACTAATTGTTTAAAGTAACCATTGCCTGTTAGTAAGAATCGGTCTTGTACATTAAGATTCAACCATTATAGATTTAATTGCGCAGAAGGATAAAATATAAATTTCAACCAATAAGAATGATTCAAATATCGCGACATCTGGTTATGGTCATTGGAACAAGACTTAACATACATTTAAATCATATGTTCAGTCTTCGTCAAATTAGTACATCTGCTTAACACAAACGGTTAGTACAAGCACAGTAACTTACTTGAGTGCAGCGAGTTCAGCAAGTTTCTGGTCCCGTTGCTTCAGCAACTCATCCTTCTTCTCCTTGGTGAGCATCCACATGGACATGCCCAGCAGATAGTTGAACTTCCTCACTTCTTTTAGCTGCTGGAATGCTTTCTCTGAAAACCGCATCGTGATGATTCATCAGATATCTAATGATTGTACTTAATGATTATCTTTGATATCTCTTTGTTTTTAGGGATCTCTGCATAACAAATGCTTTAGTCATTTAATGAGATCTAGACAATATTACAGCATAGAAATCTGTAGACTAACATCTAAAAAACTGACTCTTACATCACAGTATTCCTGTTTCCTAGGTGCCAAAGAAATAAAGCAAATTCCAAGTTGTATAAAACAAAAATATCGTGTTTGCATTAATTCAAACAAGATTCAACTAATACATTTTGTCATACAAAGTATAATAACTCACCAGGGTCTACAGGTTTTCCTTTTTCTTGAGGTTCCGGCTCCTCTTCAGACTCCTGTGGGTCTTCTTCCTCCAGTGCCGTGAGGCCTTGCATTTTGCTCGCTCGCTTCTTCCACTCCGCAATCGGATCAGGGGCATATCCTGTCAAAAAAAAATTATAAAAGAAGAATAAAAAATATTGTACATCAAATCTTAAAACAAACGTGATTTGATATGGGTAGCTAAAGTTTCCGAGTGAACATTATTGAGATAACAGGTTGATTATGTTTATATCTTGATATCTTTAGTCTTGATGGAAATAATAAAACATAATTTTTAAAAACTATGATTTAAAGGCATCTATTTAATCTTAAATACCTTTTATTTCAAATACAAATTTATTAAGTTTATTCTGCCATTTCTACATTCCTGTAAATGTCCTTAGTTCCTCAAAGCTCTTTCAATATTTTCAACTCTAGTTCCAAACTATACTTTTACAGCTATTGAATTGTCCTCAGAGTTTAAGAAGAAACAGTTGTATTATAAAACAAGCAATAAAGAGTACATAAGTCAAATTATTGGCTGCAGAAGACAGAAGAGAACAATTTGAATTGAGACACGTAACTTATTTTGGTTGGATAATAGATGATAAAATTAATTGAATATATGTGTCTCAGATATTCTTTTCCTGTCATTTTGAAACTGAACTTATGCCACGAAACGTTAAAACCAATTCAATGTTGAGCGGATGCCACTTTTTGATGTGAATTCACACCTGAGTTAATTCAAATTCTGGTTTGGATTTTTACAGACTCACAGGGCTGGTACTCAATTTAGTCTGCGTTTCATAATAAAACTGAAAAGAGTCTACTTATTTATTCTTTCTATTCTGAAGGACTAATAGTCCTGCTTTTCGGATTGAATTTTATGGAGAGAAATAAAGATTTACCTCTTTTGATGAGTTCTTCCACCATTGCTTTTCTCTTTTTGTTCTCTACAACTAATCCTTTATCACACTTCTCCAATATGAACCTGGCTCTGTTAGACAGCATGTCCGCTTCAGCTTGTAACTGTCCCTCCAAATAGTCCTTACGGCGCGAGTAATACTTCAGACGAAGGTCGTAGAATTGGCGGAGGATCTCCTCCACTTTATCATACCTGTTCGTGAAATATGTACAGAACATTGTAGCTCTTTTAAACTATTTAACACCTGTTGAGAAATTATTATATACAAGAAGGATTAGTTTGAAACTGTTAATTTGATATATAAATTATTTGTCTAAGTTTCATTCTACAAATTTTATGAGCTAAAATAATTTTAACAATAAAACGTCTACGTAAAAATTGACTTCCAAAACCATTTCAAACCTAGTAAGTTCTTTTACTAGATTTTGATCTGGTTTAACATATTAGCTAAAAATCAGCTTATCCAGATCAAAAGCTAGTAAATTCAAATTTATACAGCCATTTACACATGTATTTGTGTTTCATTAGGCGGTATTCATTTGTTTCTTTTTTTTCTTCTATTTGTTCTATTTACGTCACCCAGTATTAAATATGGAAAAATTGAAATATCGTGTTATTTACGAACACGAGTTCCACCATGGTACCAGTGCTGCGGAAAAAGCTCGAAGGGTTAATGATGTGTATGGCGGTTGTATCGCAAAAGAAAACACAGTACGTTTTTGGTTCCAACGTTTTCGTTCTGGAAATTTCGAACCTCATGGACGGCTGGAGACCCAAGTTTATAATGAAGAATTGAAGGGTATTGTGAAAATGGACTAGTGCCGGTGTCGTTTATTAGAGTTTTCTAAAATCTGGCCAGACGATTACGGCTATTGTCAGCAAGTGCAAATCATGGTGGAAAAACTAGCTGTTAAACAACCGAGGCTGGTCAATCGCTCTACGTCACTGCTAGTTCACGATAACGCTAGACCACACGTTGCACAACAGACGGCTACCAAATTAGAAGAGCTTCAATTGGAATGTCTAAGACATCCACCGTACGCCCCGGACCTTGCTCCAAAGATTACCATTTTTTTCGAAATTTGGATAACTTCTTGCAAGGAAAAAAATCAACTCCTATGGGGCAGTGCAAATCGCCTTCAAAGATTTTATTGATTCCCGTCCGAATGGTTTTTTCAGTAAGGGGATCAATGACCTACCTATGAGATGACAAAAGTGCATAGATAACAATAGTTTATACTTTGATTAAATAAATATACTATATTAAAAAATATTCGACTTTTTGTTGATGCCATACCAAACACCAATTTCATATGTAAGGACCTAATATACATATTGTAATGCGGGCAAAACATATATTTAAAGTTATTAAACGGCAACTTGTGATTTCATCTACGTGGACTCTTCGACACTGACTGAGCTTTCGACTACCGACTATAAGTTGTGAACATACACTCATAATGTTAATTAAGAGATTGCTCATAAAAACTCAGTTCTATATTTCTCTCAGTGTAATTTATATATGCATATTTGTCCTGTTTTATTGAATAAATAAAATAAATTTACGTCTTCTTTAGAATGAATTTTTAATTTCCGCTAATATAGCTCCCAATAATTAATATAATTTGAAGTTATAGTGGTTTAAGTTAAATACTCAAAGTGGGCATAAGTTAGACGACATAAGTTTGGGAACCCCTGATCTAGTCTATGGTTCTATTGCTAATTTAACTTTTTCTTGATGTTCTTTTTGTTTAGTCGAAATATCTTCTGGCACTTCAGTACCTTTATGAGTATTTCTCTTATTTCTACTTCAAAAAATTAACAATCCGCGCACTTATTGTCTTTTGGCATATTAAATGAAATATTAAGTCTTTTAATTGTTTGTCGATAAACTTCTACACTACAGCGAAAATCTTTACCTACTACTATAAACTTAGTTAGCAAAACTTAGTAACTCAATATTTTAATGTCTTACGAAAACCACAAAATATTGTTTCTATACATTTATTCACTTCATAACCTAGTAACTAGATTTGACAATTTCAAAAACCTAGTATGTGCTAACACATACTAGAATTTTGAAATAGTTAAAGATACATACTAGGTTTTATAATGGTTAAAACTTAACTTTTCATAAATTTAGAAGCACTTACTAGGTTTAGGGTACCCTATAACTTTTGATAGAAGTGAATTTTGATATAGGGCATTTTGGCATCTTGTGGGGACTTATTGGAAAACCACTTTTAACAAAAATACTCAATTTCTACTTTTTGTAGACTTACTAGGTTTTGAAATGGGACAGCCGAAATCTGTCGATGTACAGCGGGATAACCAAATAGCGCAGTAGTTATACTACTTAAATCTAACACATAATGCATAATTATTTTTTGTCATATGGTTACCTGTTTAGGCAGTTATTATGATCGAATGCGTTCATGCAGGTGAGTGATATAGTGGTCTGCAGTTTGAACACCTTGTGTATGCCTTCAGCTTCCACCTCAGACAACTTGCCCGGCAGCAATGTTACCACGAAACGGACAGTCGTATCCGTATTGTATTCCTACACAAACAAAATAATTATTATTTTCATTTATCCTTCATTGCTTTTGATTAAATAAAAACCCTTGATACAAAATTCGTACTAGCAAAGTATCCAATACTGACATATTATAAACGTATCTATACTTATTTCAATATCCACAAGTAACCAAAATAATCTTTAATTTAATGATTTAAAAAACCTTTTCTGTAACAAGTATAATATACAACTTTGTCTTTGTGGTTTACTATTCTTGGATATTTGAACTGTCTAAATTAATATAAAGAATTTATTTAACCATCAAGAATGTGATCTCTCATTCCTTTATAACATACCCTGTACTCAGATATTAGCGGTTTCACTTTATCTGTGCCCAACATAGGTTCGAGAACGTTCTCCTTGTAGTTCTGCGTCCAAACGCCAACAGGCAATTCCGATATTTCAATTTTATCGTTGGGCAAGATGGCCGCTTCGCCGGATATGACGTACTTGTCGCCGAAGCCTTCTACGGTCCCGCGGAAATTTTTGTACCAAGGATGCATCGGTTTCGGTTCTTCGCCGTCTAACATGAGACTGTAGAAGAAAAATAAAATTATTGAAAACGTCATATTAATATAATTATTGTAATATTTTCCATGGACAAATGAACAAAATGTTTAGATACTCTACCAAACCATATAAACAACTTACCGTATGTTCTCCACAATATCTCTGGGGTTATAGTTTGGAATCTTTGTGGACCATCCAGTACCAATACCTTCAGCACCATTCACCAGCACCATAGGAATGATGGGCACATAATGCACCGGCTCTATTTTCTGGTTATCTTCAAACTCGTGCTACAATACAATTTGTAATCATTATTTATGCTAGATGTTTTAGTCCGAGATGTTGATTGTTGTTGAATAAAATTAAATATTGTATTCTCAAGAGTATAATTCAGCTATACAGGGTTAATAGAGATGATGATAAAAGGGATATGTAATTTTTATCCTTCAATTTAACAAGAAATGGCTGAAAATGGTGAACATATAACATATAAAATATACAAAAGTCTGATATCATACGACATTTCAACTCAATGCATAGCCCATATTAATTGATCACTCTAATGTCTACGTGCAACATCAATATATATATATGGCTACGCTAACAATACAAAGAGGTACAGTTTTTAACTCAGTTTTTAGATGTAGGGGGTAATCTTCAGAAATATTGAAGCGATTATGAAAATTCTTTCAAATACGCAACATGAGTAACAGCTTATAATTACACACAATTTCAGAAAAGTAATTAGTTGTTTTTTTGTTACTTTAAGTCAATTAAGTTATAAATTATACACATTATACATTGAAATGTTCAAGCATAACAAACATCGTTACTTACAACAAGAAGTGGATCATCGTGCGGATGGAAAATGAGCCTTGTGAGCGGCGACATAAGTGTGAATATGTAACGGGGACTGGCCGAGTCTTTCCCACCGCTGAGTCGCGTACCAAACTGACCGCGTGGCTCAAGTAAATTTATGTTGTTCGATCCCACATAGTTCTGGGCGAGATTCACTATAGTCATCGCGAGGGATTGCTCGCCTGTTGAAGTAAAAATGTAGAAACTATAAATTAACATTGTCAAATGCTTATAAATACCAAAGACATTGCTGAGACAGAATTAACCTTGTCAGATCCCATCTCGAACGCCATTTAAAAGAGGTTTTTTTTTTTTAATTATTTACTTTCTTTATGATAAATACATAATGTTGTGAATGTAAAATTTATAAGTTATTTGATTAGATTACAGTACTGACCGTGATGATATGCAGAGTGCTCGGCGACGGAGCCGGCTAACTGCGCTACTTTGACCTCCCGTTTGTCGTTACGTTTGATACACGTGAAAATCACCTTACGCTGGCCAGGCTTCAGACCGTCTACCATGGATGGAATGGATCTGATCATCACAACATCAAAAGAACATAAATAATACTCTATAGACTTCAATCTTTGGCTTTAAAATCTGAGTAATAAAATACATACATTATTGACAATGCAATTTGCTAGTTACATACATACACTTAAACCATTGCATATGTTGTTATTAAGGAATAACATACATTCTAATTAGAGTATAATTGTAACTGTATAATTAGAGTATAATAAAGAGAAATAATTTAAGTCAATCCAAGAGCAGTGGTTAACCCAATTCTAAAGTATTATTTTCTAGAATTTTAAGATTATTCAAGAATATCATAAATAAATAAAAATATGAAGTACAAAAACTTACCGAACATTATCACCATTTGAGAAAAGAACCAATTCCAAGTTAACGAAATCTGAGTATGAAACAGCTTTAGTATCTTTAGTGTACAGATATCTTTCTGGAAGACCAATCTCCTTCCTTCGTTTCACTTCATCCATGTGGTTGGTCAACCACTCTTTACGTTGGTCAGCTCCCTTTTTAGAGAAAGCTAATTCAATGTGGTGGTCATCAGTGGCCCCACCATACTTAAACCTAATTCTATGCCTTTCCATATTCTGGAAGTATTCCTTAGCCTCTTTTGATGTGGAAGTACCCAAACCTTTGTAGTATTTGATATTGTAGGTGTGATGATTTTCAGTATCTCTCTTCCATTCTTCAAATTCGGGTAATGAGTAAAAAGAAATCTCTTTGTCTTTTTTAGTCGCTTTTACTATGGGTGTGATGAATTCTTCTAAAAACGGCAATTTTAACAACTCTGGCCAGTTATGATGAATGAAATTGATAATTAAACCTTTAATATGAGAACCATCTTGATCCTGATCAGCCATTATCATAACTTTGCCATAACGTAATGACTTCAAGTCATCCATAGAGTTGTATTTCTTTTTATATTGTAAACCGATGATTTTAATCAAATTATTAATTTCTACATTCTCTAAAACTTGCTTATGTGATGCATCACGTACATTTAGAGGTTTACCCTTTAACGGAAATACGCCATAGTGATCTCTGCCCACAACACTAAGTCCAGAAACAGCCAAGGTCTTAGCTGAGTCTCCCTCAGTGAGAATTAAAGTGCACAGATGAGCATTCTTTGTTCCAGCATCATTAGCATCCTCTAATTTAGGTATACCCTTCAATTTACTTTGCTTTTTACCAGAGGCTTTCACTAATTCTGTCTGTGCTTTAAACTTGGCCCAAGTCAAAACAGACTCGACTAAACCAGACTTTGTGACCGATGTTATGAATTTTTCAGAGAGATTACATTTGGAACCGAAGCTTTTGGCTTGAAGGGTCATGTTTTCTTTCGTTTGTGAATCAAAGGTTGGGTTTACTATGAGGCAATTGATGAAAACCCACATATGATGTTTTACTTGGAAAGGTCTAATATTAACTCCTCCTTTATTTTTTTTCTTCAGCACTTCAAGAACACTCTTCACAATACTGTCGGAAACAGAATCAACGTGTTTCCCACCTTTAGTTGTGGCTATGGAATTTACAAATGAAACCTGTTGGAATCCATGGTTAGATAGTGTAAGTGCGACCTCCCAGCGGTCACTCACTTTCTCATAAACTACTTTCAACGGTTGCCCATTCTCATCTTCTTTTCCTTTTATGTATAAGTCTACATAGTCTTTGAATTTATTGATTTTTATTCTTTCGCCGTTTAAATACACTTTCACGCCGTGGGAAGATGCTGCTACATCATATGCTCGGCGCGACATCAGAGCAACAATATCGTCTTCTAATTTTTCCATTTTAAATTTTGCTAAGTCAGGGCTGAAAGTCACTTTAGTAAAATCATCATCTTTACCAGACTCTTTAACCTTAGGTTCTGAAGCTTTTGTCATATTAGATCCCCAAGTTTGTTTGAAATGTTTCTTGTACTGCTTTGAAGCAGTCTCTACTGTAAATTTCGTAGAGAAAATGTTACATAATTTAGCACCATAACCGTTTCTACCTCCTGTCACCTTTTCTTCTTCATCATTATAGTTAGATGATGTCAATAAATGCCCAAATATCATAGTGGGAACATACATTTTCTCTTCTTTGTGCATAACTACAGGTATGCCACATCCATTGTTGTATACTGAAATAGTATTCTGTTCCTGGTTAATGTCAATTTTAATTATGTCCATCTTGGGATCCCTTTGTTTGTTGTCAGCTGCATTCACTAAGATTTCATCATATATTTTGTACAAACCTGTAAATGAAAAATAATTAATGTAAAATTTAATAATATCATCTATTTCATGAAGAGAATGGTTCAAATCAAAGGCTGTAATTCCGATAAATGACCAATAACATAATGTCTTGAGCAAGCAAGCCTTTGTCACCAGCCAAATGTAGCTTTTATTTATTACTTAAATTAGTATCCTGTTTCTGAAAGCACATATGTAAACAAATATATATAGGATAACAATATAGTAGGTAGTTGTTAATTTCTTTTTAAGAATTTCATCATTTTAAAATACAACTGGTGTGATGGCTATAGATACTAACTAATTAGTATTTTATAATAAATATAATATAGTTAAATAAAGAAAAATATAGCATATAATTTTTTTTTATGAATATATATCATTAAACAACATTTTTTTTTTTCATATAATGATAAATCAACCCACCTGGTACATAAGTCAATTCTTTTTGTGTCATACACTCCTTTGTCTTGTCATAAATCCACATAGTTTCTGTTGCCCGTTCTACGGACCCAATGTATGTGTCGGGTCTGAGCAGGATATGCTCCAATTGTGACTTTTTCTGATATATTTTCTCAATCGTGCCTTTTTGACCTTTGGCAGGCGGGGGCACAGAGTCTGTTGTGCCATTCTGTGTTACATTATTCATTTTGTTGAACATAGCCTAAAAACATAAATACTTTCATTTTAACTGAAATTCATTTATTCATCACAGACTTAGGACATAATACAATAAAAACCATACAAAAGAAAAGAATATAATAGTGTCCCATATTAGTCAATAAAAAAGCATCTAGTTCAGCGTTTGTCAGCTTTTAATAGTTAAAATAGTTATTTTTTCAATTATTAAATATAGTAACAAGTTTTGCAAGAAAATAGTTAACACAGTGATAGACAGATAAATGATTCTATAAAATTTTAATTTTTCGTTTTGAAATTTGGGACCTCAAAATAAATAAGTATTTCCCTTATTTCACAAATTAATAAGATCATTAAATAAGGGTAGGTTAATATGTGCAATTTTATAATTGAATGGTGAAATTATAAGTCAGTAAATATAAACAACATTGCATAGAAAAAAGGCTTTAATTGTTTTCAATAAATCAAAAACGGGTCTACATAAATTATCTTGCAAGCAATAATTGTAAAAATAATATACTTATATATATAACTATGTAAATAAATGAAATTGACGGGTAGAATGGACTAAATTTTTATCTAAAATTTTGAAACCAGATAAGTAACGTTTTTTTTACAAATATACAGTCCTCGCACAATAATAATTGCTACAATCTGTTGATTTGAAATTCACTGCAAGACTGTGGACTTATTTTACATCATTATTATAAATATATATATCAAAATAAATATATAATCGTCAAGATATTATCCATTTGTTTAATACATCTACAAAAGAGTTAGGCACACAGATTGACCGTTAGCAGTTAAAATGCCGCCAAATGCATACCTTTATATCAGCCATCTTTGTCGTAGTCTTTATTAGACGTGTGCGATCAACGCTAAATGCCTTTTGTTTTGCAATCAATACAAAACATAGGCTAGAATTCTTGAATTTGGCAAAGAAACATTTTACAGCAACATATCACTAAATTTACAGACGCGAAATAAAAACGATGAGCAGACGCCACTGACTTCACCATAAACAAATCAAAGAGCAAAAGTAGCGACTAGGGATAAACGATACGAGTCGAGTAAATACAAATACTTACTCGATACCACATACTATGGAAATGAGGAAGTATTTAAAAAACAAGAAAACACTAAAAAAGATACCTCCTAAATAGCGACTCTACCAAAAGTTGATTTTTGCAGGAAACGAATGGACCAAAGATAGTCACTTTCATTCCTTTTAACTAAGATATTAAAAAACTGAAATTTGAAATGTTCGAAACTTAGATATCAATACAAATACGAAAAAGTACAAATAGAATATGAGTTGTTTATTAAATTTTGAAAACTAATTTACTTTTAAACATGAAAGAAAACTGGAAGGGTTGTCATGGAGAAATCAAGAACGTACCGTAGCAACATCTAGTTTGATTTCGGGAACTAATATAATACTTCCTCATTTCCCACAGACAAAGATTATACATAGAGTCTGGCAAGCGAAACGTGTCACAAGAAAAGGGCGGCAATTTCAAAAATTCTTAAGCAGTAAACACTGAATGTAGTACTGCAAAATAATTTTGATACTTTTATTAATTATATTTAATCTTAACATTTAGATATCAATTAAAATTATTTGTTTTGGAACATTTGACTAAAGCGTGACTGTTCTTAATTGTACAGTTAACAGCATATCAGTAGGCCTATTCACTAACTCAACTGACAACCAAGAATCGTCATCACCGTAAAAAATAGACACTTTGATTGTGTCAAAATCACTATTTCGTATTCTCTATCAATGATGAGCAATTTCGAAATGTCAATATCGGCATTCTCCACTGGACTCCATTTTGACACTTGATTTCGTATCGATAAACTGTATTAAAGTAACATTGTTGCAAAGCATATTTGAAGTCGTCGCATAGTACCTCTTAAGCCATTTGTTGTTAAATTAAAGCGAAAAAAAATACGTATCCAATATTTTTCTATTATCTGACTGACGGACTAAATCGAATCTTTTTTTTAACCCATTCGTTATACCTATTGGCTAACAGCACTTATAATATTAAAAATTCATATTTGTCATTAATTAAAAGGGTGTTTTTTGCAACGACTTCTTTGTTTTTTTGTAATGAATATGGGCGACTCTGGCCACATTTTTTTAATAAATGTGATGTTAGCCAATTTTGATTTCTGGCCCTTATATTTATAATGTGTTCATAACACATACATGTCTCCTAAGGGATTTTCATCACAACCTTTTGCTCTGATCCAGAACCACTATCTATCAAATTAAATTAGTCAATATAAACACCAGATTACAATAAAAAAAACATTTATTTTTGTTACAATTAAGTGCCATGGATAAATTACATAATACAGGTGTCACAAAATCATCATGTTAATCACAATAGAAAATTTAAGATAAGATTTTGACTATGAATCAGACTAAAAATACTTTAGTCTGATTCATAGTCAAAATCTGTTTCTAAATATTCTACACCTGATAACAATGACAAGGAATCATCAGAGTCACTCTCTTCACTACTGTCTGCACCAACAGATATAATAAATTTTTCAAGTTCGTTTTCAACAATGCCATCTTTTAATTTGTAATCATTTTCGACATTTAAAACATGATCAGTGTATTTCTTCCAGTCACTAGGGGTAATTAAGTTAAAACACTCTATTATTAAGTTTTCCATTTCCTTTCCTGGTATTCCAATGTTTCTGCTTGCAATTTTTCTTTTTGCTTGACTCCAAACCATCTCTATTGGGTTTAAGTCACAATGATACGGTGGCAGCAATAAAAGTTCATGATTATGTTCTTTTAAAATCTCTTCAGCTTCATATACAGGCAATGTTTTCTTATCATTAACCAAACACATTAACTCTGCCTTTGTCTGATATTCCTCAAAATGTATTCCATTATTTACAAGCCATTTACGGATATCTGCTTTGGTATTAGACATTATAGGCGGTTTATTGATTTGTTTTATATGGTAGCTGGCATTATCCATAACAATTACACTGGGCTTACTTAAATTTGGTATTAATTTTTCTCTGACCCATTTCATAAAGTTCGATGAGTTCATATCATCATGATAATCAGCAGATTTGGATTTACTACTGAACACTAATAATGCACCAGGCACAAAACCTTCCTCAGATCCAGCATGCACAACAATATGCCGTTTTCCAGAGGATATCTTTGTAGTGACACCAGTTGTTGAAGGTCCTTGCCAAGACTTTTTAACTTTATAATTCTGATGTACATAAGTTTCATCAAGGTACACAATTTGCTTTCCTTCGTTTCGTTTTATATTTATTTCTCTCAAATACTTGTGCCTCCATGCAGAAATCTGGTATTTTTCTATAAGCATAGAACATTCATTTTCATTGCTTTTAAAAGAAAATCCATTCTTAAGCATAATTTTTCGTAAAGTCTCACGGCTACCACTGAATCCTATTGCATCTTTTAATTCATTGTGAAGGCTTCTTAATGTTGGAACAATTTTTTTCACACAGTAAAATTCATTTACTTTATTCCGAATTGCACTTAAATCAAAATTATCTAAAGCAGACACTGTTGGTTTATGAGGTCGTTTTTTCCCAGGAGTGTCCCATTTTCCTTTATTAATTAATGCTTCATTTTTTATCCTTCTTAGTGTCCTTATACTTACATCTATAAAAGATTAAACACTTTGAAACAAAGATATGTTAAATGTATTTAAAAGCAAATAATGATAGACACATACATCAAAATAATTTAAATACCTATTCAACTATGAATGCTTAATTTAGTTAAGTTTATGTGCATATTTAGCATGTATAACAATTACATGGTTTGATTAGTTTCATGAATTCTGTGAATTTCCTTGTTAAACAAAACATTCTTATGACATCATTGGATGTCAACAATAAAAACCAATACATCATAAAAAACCTATGTAAATATTATAGGAATACTATCAATCTATTTTAAATCAAAACAAGAAAAGAGACCTGTCATTGAAGAAATTTTTTGTAAGTACTGCGTTTCCGAATTCAGCATTTCTTGTTTTTCTAAAGTTTTTATTGCATTTATCTCCTCCATTATTGGTTGAATATCACCATCACAGTTATCTGAAATAGAGCAATATTTTATAAAAAATATCTGTTTAGTTAATTACAGAAAATTAAAACGAAAGTATCAAAATTATAATACAAAACTAACCTAAAAAAGATACAACTTTATCTAATCGTTGTAATTTCTCCATGAAATTTTTATTTAATTCAGTTTTCACTTCAGTAAACTCGTCAATCATGATGGAAAGAAGTTTCCTCGATGAACTTTTTATCGGCTTCGACATAATTTTTAACCAAAAACACAAGTTCAAATTCGCAAAAACAACAAAATTCAATATTCTTGAATTGTCTAACGTAGTGTCAAACTGACAGTTCTATGTTGTTGCCATATGAAAACGGAAAAATAGGTGGTGTCACGTTTCGCTTGCCAAACTCTATAGTTCCCTCGCTCATTAAACAAGGCCTACTGGGTCGGCGAAAAAAGACAAGAACCGTGAAGATGATTTTTTGTTTTTAAGTTGCCTCACTTTCAGCATGAATTGAAAGGAAACTTAACAAGAAAAATATTATATTATGGTAAAACAGAACAACATACCGATTACCAATATGAAGATATGTATTTTATTAGGTAAGATGACGTACATTGGCGGGCATTATCGCTCGGTCATTTAAGAAAATTTTCGTTTGAGCATGTTTAAACGTTAAGTTGAAGCTAAAATGCTGCAATACAAACGAATGCATCGGCAGTGGAAGATGAAATAGCTACTCAAGAGATTGTGGATGAAAAATCCCAAAGTGAGGGAGCAAGTAGTGCTACGATTACAGATGCTGATCAGGATAAATCTGTTATTGATGTACAACAAATACATGTACTAGATGATGTTGATACTGTTGTCCCGAATATAGCGGATCCAGCTACTTGGCCACTTATTCGAAATAGCAAAATAATTGATAATATAATAAGTAGTGGCCCACTGCAAACTCACTGTCACAAAGTTACAACAATTACACAAAGTTATATATTACAATTATGTGATCACCCTGTTAGGGTGTTACAAGGGTAAAGAGTCGGGACCCAATTTCAATAATTAACCTGTTATTTTAACATCTTATATATTTTAAGTATTAGGGAATGTGTAGTACAGATCGCAAAAATTAATCTGTACTTATCTAATGATGTGATCTGTCAAAAATGAAACAGCTACTTATACACGATTTATGTCTATTTTTTAAATAAAACTAATGTCACTATAGTTGGAACAAGTGCATCGTAACGTAGCGTTAAACGGTTGATTACTGTGTTTGTTTGTTTTAAAATAATCGAATAATTGTTTTAAGAACGTCCACTCATGACTGTTGATTGTGTTCTGCTTCGTCAAAAATTAAAAGAGATAAATCTCGGGAATCCCCGATTATAGAAAAACACATTGTTTCTGTAAGGTCGGTAAGTCGGGGATTCCCGAGAAATTAAACCGATTGAACACTACGTTCCATTCTAATGCTGCCAACTTAACAATCTACCTAAATCTAGGGAAAATTACAAGTAAGTAGGCCGGGTCGGCAAATAACTGATTTGTAGTATGAAGTAGTAATTGAATTGCAGTTAGGGGGCGCCGAAGAAATTTCGCCCAGGGCGCTAGTAGTGCTAAAACCGGCACTGAGAATATGAGTTGTTTATTAAGTTTTGAAAACTAATTTACATTTATACATGAAAGTAAAACGGGAAGGTTGTCATGGAGAAATCAAAAAGTACCGTAGCGACATCTGGTTTTATTTCGGGAACTAATGTTTTTTTTTTAATATTTCCTCATTGATACTTTAGAATCGAGTCCCAATTAGTATCGTACAGAATGTATTCGTATCGGTACTTGATCGGTCACTCACTATTAGACTATTAGTCCTAGCACTATTAGACCTCAGTAATGCGTTTAGCACGGTCGACTTTGAGTTACTTCTTGCCGTTATGCGCTCACTTAACGTATCTCCAACGGTAATTGATTGGTTTCATATTTATCTGTTTGGACGTAGGCAGCGTGTTCGTCTTGACGAAAAAGCATTCTTCATGGTGCAAAATGACGGCTGGCGTTCCAAAAAGGGCGTGTTATCTCCTCTACTTTTTGCAATCTTTATAAATGCTATTTCTCATAATCTTTCATGTTCCTACCACCTATATGCAGACGACCTTCAGATTTATTGTCAGGCTTCATTTTCACAGCCAGCTGAAGCGATATCCGCAACGAATGTTAACTTGTACCGCATCAATGAATGGACTAAATGTTTTGGACTAAACGTCAACCCACTAGACTCAAGTTATGATAGTGGGTAGCTCCATATTGTTATCTAAAGTTGACTTTCAAACACTTCCTAAAGTCATCTTTGATGGAAACGTTTTACCATTTCAAGCAACGGTAAAGAATTTGGGAGTAATAATGGATGACACACTGAGTTGGGCATCACAGCTTCAAACGATTAGTCGGAAGTTGTATGCTTCCGCGGCTTCTTTGAGGAGATTGCGTAATTTCATACCCACTGCCACTAAAGTCGTGCTTGCGCAGTCTCTTCTGCTTCCTGTACTTGACTGAGGACCTTTACAGAGGAAAAGCTAATAAACTTGTGCGCCTGCAAAAGTTCTGCATAAGGTTCATATTTGGCCTTCGCAAGTATGACCATTTCTCTTATTATCGTACCGAACTCAAGTGGCTTCCTATTTGTCTTCGCCGGAATTCTCGTATCCTATATCTTCTGTACAATATATTGTTCAATCCTTCTTACCCTCGTTAACGCTTCAGTTTTCTTCAGAACTCCAATTCTTACTCATTACGGTCAAAATCGGATACTGGAAATGCCACCTCATAGTACTAACTTTTACGATGCTTCTTTTACTGTTCGGACTGTGCGTCTCTCCCAGTAAATGTAAGACTCTCGCAGACATTAGACTCTTTTAAAATGCGCGTAAGGGATTTCTACCTACCATATTAGTTCACTTACTGCAAATAAACTGTTTTGTTTGCTGTATTTATTTGGATAGTATGTATTATTTTATTTATATTTATGTAATTTGTATATAAGTATAATAATAGTTTAATGTATATTTATTTAATTTGTATTGTAATCATAAGAATATTATACACCCCGTACTTTTAAGACAGTTCATCTCTCCTTCCAAAGGTTCTCTAGAAGAGATCGCTGTATAATGATAAGACCGCCGATTGTAACACATAGCTTAATAATATTGTTTTTTTGTTCTATGTATCGCACTCCCGGTGCGACACTGTCACTTATGCAAAAATTTAGTTTTTCAGGAGAAGAGTTTTAAACTCTGTCACCTCACAAAACAATGACTTTAGAAGATACAGATGAGATGAATCATACGAAACATAGTACCGTATGATTCATCTACAAAAGTAACATTATCGCACCAAGTAAAGGGGGTTTAGGACAATTATTACATATTTAACTAATTTTTGTATTTTTTGCAAAAGTGACAGTGTCGCACCGGGGGTGCGGTATGTTCTGTATTCGGTTTATCAATAAAGAGTTATCTATCTATCTATCACTGACGAGTGTCAAAAAAATCATATGCATAAGACTGCTTATTCTGTCGTAAGGTATCTAAACTCCGTCTCATGAAAAGTTCTCACACAGGCGGATGTGGCATTCGCTGTTGTATGGCAATAAGCATTATTAATAATAAGTCATCGTCGTTTTTGATACTATTGATAGCCAACACACAGGTAATGGCTATTGATTGTATCAATACACAGGGAGAGAGAATACGATGAGATTTTTGAAATGTCGGTAACTGCTTGCTTTGTTACTCTGCGTGCGAAGACGTAGAAGACAGAACAAATATTGGGCTCATCCCCTTGTAAGTGAAAGGTACCTAAATAATGAGCTGACAGGATAATTTTACATAAAACATACATAAAACATACATTCAGGCTTGGGAAAAAATAATCGATTTGTGTAAAATCGATATTTATTACGGCGATGTTGTTAATTTTCAATAAACTTATAATCGATATTTATTGTAGATTATAAAATGCTATATTTTATATGATGATTTAATATAGTTGGTAAATATCAAACTCGGTATAGTTCTAATTTGATCAGCGTATGCTCAGCGTACCAATGATTGTTCTATCTCTGTAATCGCCAGAGGTCGGAATTAGGTAGAGTTATTTATGTACTTGCATCGAAATGTTGATATTAATGTGGACCTTCCCTACAAATGTGGCAACATCGCGCGTATTGGTATTTTGCAACTTTGGATATCCGATGTCATTGATGTAAGTTTGGTAACATCGTGCGTGCAGTAGTTTAAATTGTGTAAAAGTAAATAACTTTTTATTTAAAAAATCACGAGATTTTTTCTGCTCTTTAAAATTAATCTCGGGATTTTGAGGCATATCCACTTTAGTCTTTCGCTGTATGAAATCAGTGTAAGTACATGAATAACTCTACCTAATTCCGACCACTGGTAATCGCTTAAAGTTGTTTTTACAAAACTTCGAAAAAAAAGCACGTTTATAAATTTAAACATCAAGTACTAGACCATTATCAGCAATTTTATTCTAGTGTCACAGATATTTTTTAGCTATTGTATGTGAATAATGCTGTTCCTAAATTAGTAAGGGTATAAGTTTTTACACGTGATAGTAGCCATCCGATAGGAGTATAAGAAATTTGTTTTATTTGAAAAACTTGTCGATTTAAAAAAAAAATCGCAAGTGGTGCCGAAACATGAAGTATGTCAAAAAATCACAAATAAATAGTTCTATATCTGTGTGCAAGGATATAAAGGCCAACCTTGCGATTCCAAAGATATCCTCATTTTTCATGTCAGCTCCATACAATTTTTTCTTAAATAAATCATAACTCTCTCATTAGTGCACACAATTACATCGTATGATATTTTATGACATCGTAATGATTAGCAGAATCCATTTCTGGCCTAAAAAAGGGACCTTCAAAGTTCAAGTTCTATGTCTTTGAAAGGGGATTTTCAGCCCACCGTGTGGCGTCGCGGACAATTTTTTTTTTGTATAAAGGTGTTATGGCTCTGGCTACTCGGACTTTTATAACATCCGAATGATTGCTAAAAACGGGACTACAAGCATGTACTTAGTTTTTGTTGAGTTCCTGATATTTCGGCGCTATTGCAACTGTTATACATTATTTTTTGGATTTCATTAATTATTAGACTTATCGATTGATACGTATCGATTATTTGATAAATGTGCATCCTTAGACAAATTGACAGCTGCTTCTAGGTTATGTTTGAATACATAAATGTTTTGTGAAAATAGAAATAATGTCCTTTTTATCTTACGCTTCTATAATTCTGAGAAAAAATGTGATAACTATATATCCTTTTTGCCGTAGTATCTTTACTAATAAAGTGAGAAATGTAGTTTCAAATTCAGTAACAACTAAAACTATTCACGATGTGAACACGAATGTTGTAAAGGATGTCATTCTATTTAAGTATGAAAATCCAAAGTTTTACATGTATATGAATGTTTTTGCTTTAGTGCAATATATGTTTTGGACATATTTAGGATTGTTCGCATTTTCAACATTACGTGACGCTCCTGTTGACAAATCCAAAATTACAGATGATACCCCTTGGTTTAGAAGAATAAATCTCGGCGAAAATAAGTATAGAAATGCATTAGGATCGATTGCAGTTCTCATTGGTTAGTTTCAATGTTTTTAATGAATTTGAAATTATAAACTATCATTGTCTAATCATTTATACTTCTATGATAATTTATTAGCGTATTGATGTTGTAACCTGCCATGCAAACGCAGTGTGGATTTGTGGGTACTGTAGATGATTGCAGATGCAGCAGGGTCCGATGACTTAACATGCCTTCTAAATCATCAATATAATAAATTTTTGGTTACTCATGAAATTAAATTTACATTTTTTCTTTTATTACAGGTACAGGATCACTAATAATGATTTGGATGTACACATTAAAGTCAGTGCGCTTCTTGATTCTTCACAAAGGTGGCAAACATTTATCATTTGTCACATACACTCCTTTCGGCAAGAACCGCATCATGAAAGTGCCTGTTGAAAATATTTGTTGTAAAGAAAACAGGGCTAATGCAAGGGTACAGTTGCCACTCAAGGTGAAGAATACATGGATGCATTATATGCTAGATATGAGGGGAGAGTTTAAGAATCCATTGCTTTTTGACTGCACTGCTGGGTTGGCTAGGAAATGGTAAAAGTATTCATCGTAAACCTGGATTATGTTATTCAAAAGCGCTACATTATCATGTACATTACTAGCACATCTATGAATCAATGAACATAATAATATGACAGTTCAACAATGTTCAAGCATTTTTTGTTATATAGTTGAAAAAATAAGAAATATACTAATATTTCTTAAATATATAAATAAACTTGTAAATAATGTTTATTATTTTTGTTTTAATCTGGTTCTTATTTATTCTAATAATTCTCTAAAACATACTAATAAAGTATTGTGGAAGATTCTTTCAGATAATCAGTTATATTTGAAAGGGTAAAATGAAATACAATTATGATTTATCAGAAAAAAAACTTATTTTTAATTAGTGTAACAGAAATTATGTTGGACACTCAACACAAAATAAACATGAAATACAAATGATAACAAAAAATAAACCTTCTCTATTTACAATATATTGATTTAATATTAATGTCAAATGCCAAGTGACATACAGAATGTCTTATATTTAATACACAGTCTGTAAATAATATGTAGTTAAGTACCAAACAATATAGTAAATTTAAGTATCCACAAACATCTACATATATTTAAAATAATAATGTCTATAGCTAATGTTTATCAAGAAATTTACTCAAGACAATTCTGTATTCCCTCCTGCAAGTAACATCAAAGTCAGTTACACTGTTTAATGACAAAAATATGATTCAAATTTGCACAATCAACTTATATAGAGAAACATTAAATAGGTAGGTCTCTTATTTAATCTAATCACCTACTAAATTTTTAAGTCTACAAATGCTTGAACTAGCTTGCTACGACAAGCTAAAGAGGGCCTTAGGTATCAGTTCAGGAAAAACAAGTCCAGTCTTTGTGTCTTTGATATGTTCCTGTAAACATCTGCAGTGAATGTGGACTACATGAACGGCCCTCAATCATTAAGTACATTATTATAGATCTTATTTACATTATACATTAATATTTATATGCTATTAATAAATTACTATTTAAGGCTTTGTGTATAGACACTGAAGTGTGTGCTATATATAACATTGGTTTTACTATTGTTCTTTAACGCAGGCCTTCACACTTCAAATGACAACTTATATGCCTTTGATCTGCATTGCAGTTATTTATTTCTCACTTAATGCCAATCAGTATTATGAATTACACATATTTTAAATAAGTAAAGAAAATCGCGCTTTGCGCATTTTACTATTTTACAAAAATATAATAATATACATATTTAATTTTTAATTAAAATTATTAAAAACTGGAGACCAACTTACCTAGCAAATTTTGTTAAGATTGTAAGCGAATCCCATTTTTACAGCATTAGTTTTAAGCATTTATCACTCTAATTCATGCTCTTTCGTTGTTAGCGTTTTTCGAATTAAAGTTTTTTTTTTCGAAAGTAACATAAATATTGGCACCCACACATTATCATCCATCAGTCTCATACCATATATCAGTACGAAATGTTAAAATTATTTTAAAACATTTAATATTTTTCGTTACCTAATATTTTTTTCTCTAAAAATGTTAATCAAAACTCACTATAACTAGTGCTAGCCAAGATTTTCCAATGACATTCACATAAATTATAAATATCTAATTTCACATTTTCCACTTATTATGTTACGTCAAGTTTCATTCTTTACATACGCGTCATTAAATTTATAAATTCTTACTGTATTTAATTACTACCAATTTTCTCTAAGATTTTCATTATAGAGATTTAAGTTTTAGTTTATTAAGTTACTAAGTGTGTATTTGGTAATATCTAGTCAAAATAAACTTTTTGAAATGGCTTTAACATAATACATAACTACTATTATTCTGATATAATTGTTTCGAAAATTAATAATTATTTGAATATATACTAACTACCCTTACTAGTAAGAAAGGCATAGGTAACCGTGACACAGCATATCCGTCATATCAATGTGATTTTTAGTTGGAATAAAGAAGACAAACACTTTATCTATACAACGCTAACGCATTGCTTATTAGTAAGGCCTTTAGTATATATATTTTTTGCACATAAATCTACACTGCAAAGATGATGTCACTTCAATAAGTAAGCTTATTTTCACTCATTCGAAATTATTTTATAGTTATTTTTTTTTTTATAATTAGCAGAATTGAGATCGGTAGGCGGATCTCGAATCGAATACAATCTCGATGACGCCATAAATTATTTTATCAAGTGCAGTCATATGTTAAAAATATTATATAATAATACTAAGAATACTCACGTAGAATTAAAAGGTGAGACAATTATCAGAATCATTATACATATTTTTAATATATGGCTAAATTATAATTGTGCACAATTTCTGGTCACGAATCTTAAGTGACAGATTGTAGTGACCGGTCACCGGTCTTTAGTAAAAAAATCTATTCAGAATTTCTAATTCCCGAAATGTTCAACTCTTGAAATATCCAATTTCCAAAATGTCCAATCTAGTAAGTAATATGAAGGGTATGTTCATTACAAAGATAAATAATATGTAGCTTATCTTTAAGACAGGACATATAGCAAGCTAGTTGAAGCTTGCTATATATATTATTTGTGTATTAAATGAACCCATCATGATACTAGATTGGACATTTCAGAAATTTGTCATTTTGGGAAATGGAATTTTGAGAACTACTGGGAATTGTATATTTTGACATTTTTGGAATTGCACATTCTTAACTGAAAGGTCGGAAAGATCGTGTTGTCTCATCATGTAATCTATACAACTCCTATAAATTGTCAAAAAGAGCTGTGCACAATCGCTGAGTTTGAGTCAGCTGTGTTTTTGGAAACGCTCTAAAAATGCATTAATCACATAAACAGCTTGCTTTCATTTTATTCGCTTACCTTTATATTGTATTTGTACAAATGCAGTTATTATACAAGTTACGAGATTTATATAAACGCGGTTACCACCACATTTTATATTGTTTTACAAAATATGTAAGAACGTGAAATGTGGTTTTTAATTGTTATTGTCCACAAGCGGAGTGCGGGCGACATCGGCGCGCAACCTTTTAGTCTTCGGGTTGGTTATCAGCAAATTCCATGACGTTTCAGTCCCACCGACAGACGAATTTAACTGTTGGCCGAAACTTTAATAGAATAGTTGTACGTCGGCTTTCATTCTTGCCGTTGGCACAGTTTGAAGTAGTGAGACTGAGACAAATCAGTGGTCTTGTATATTTTCGTTTATGTCGTTGAAATAAATATTTTAGTTCATCTGTAGCGATAGTTTTCACTTTTTATATCCTGATTAGTCAATGATATTTAAAGGTTATCAGAGTCCTGTATTTTCATGACGTATTTAAGTCAATTGTCTTATTTGCACTATATTGATGATCTTCGAATCATGGTGTCAACTACAGTTGATCGGCACTTTAGTCTTTCCGATTTTTCACTGTAGGCATATATCTTGAACAGTTTATCTCAGAAGAACTTTTTTATACCTCGTCGGTAGCATGAGTACTTAGGTGGCGATGTACCGCCTAATATCGCGGCGTACGTCAGTCGGAGAGGTAGCGGGTTCTGTCTTCGTCTTCTCGTCCAGGACTGATGCTCTCAATTTCGTCCACCTCCTCTAGGTTCTTCGTACTCGGGTTACAAAGTCTGCGAATTTAAAAAGGTTTAAGTATTGGATAGGTATGGTTTAAACACAAACAAGATATAATATGTTGTCTGTGGCCTTGTGTGTGTGCCTTTTCTGCAGGCCATTTGGCTAACAACTGCTTAACAGCAATATAACAGTTTTACTAACTGCGTGGCATTTTCAGTGGAGTTTTTACACGCATACAACAAAACGTACTTTTATGTGTACTAACTGATTACTAACAATAAATATTGCATAACCGTCTTATTTCGAAGTCGATTAAAAATATATAATTTTCATTTTTCACAAATGTTTGATAGTAATCGTATTTGAGCCTCATCATATGTTTTGTGTAATAAGTCAGTTATCAATTAGTCCTACATCCAGTACAGTAAGATACAACTGAAGTGGATCACTGATGTATGTACATGCGCAGAAAGCAAAATTATACAAGTATCACGCCAACGGATCCACCAATCACACAAGCGCTTAATCCACGCTAAGTATAAGTGAGACGTACACTTGTATTTTACATCTTATTTTTATTGAGAACAAGACTCAAATTGTACTATTTTCACCATGCAACACATTAGTTGGAATTCACCATGCAACATATTAGTTGGAATAATGTACTAGGTTGTACAGATCATGCAAAATAAGGGCACGTTAAATGCCCTTATAACTAATAAATTCCGAAACCACAATATACCCAGAAATTCATAGAATGAGAAAGCTTTGAGAGATTGGCTTTTGGTGAATGATGAAATTAATACAAATCGTCAGAAAACATTTTGGACATTTAATTTATTTTATTAAAATAATTTGAAAACTAAGATGTATCAATGTTTCTTTTTCTCTTTGTCAATAACTGTCGTTCAGTCATTTATTGCGGATCTACTATTTACAAAATAAATAAAATAACAATAAAAACCGGTCAAGTGCAAGTCGGATTCGCGCATTAAGGGTTCTTTACAATTATCTTTGTTGTAATGCAAACCTCCTTGAACTTTGATTTCGTTGTTTTTATTATTTGTTGTTTTGTTCGGCAACAGAAATACAGCATAGTAACATGCAGACGGTCAGCGGAGTCTCAATGATGGAGTCGAACTCAATAAATCAAAAATAATCCCGTTTTTACTTATTAGATACGGAATCTTAAAAAAAAAAACTATCTATAGACTCGATCGGTAACTTGTACGTAATATTTCCGGATGTCTAAAAACAATTTCCTGTAAATACACTTCATTAAAATAATGATATATGATATGACCAAGAGGAAGAAGACAGGAGAGATATTAAATACTAACCTACACTTGCAACACACGATGCAGGGCGCAGCGAGTAGAAGAAGAGGGCTCGCCACCAGCAGTAATAGACCGAATCCCGCGAATATGCCGACCACCTGCAAATGATTCATTTTACTGTCTACAACATAATCATGTTTGTATCAAAACAATATACAGTGGAATATCGAGAACTCGAATATCAACGGAAATGCCAAAAATTTCGAGTTAAAAGATTTACGAGATACAAATGATTTAACTTAAATTGCGACATAGAAAGGCGCTTAGAAATAATATTTCTCTTAAATTTTATGGAACAAAATTTATTTAAAAAAAATTGCATACTAATGTATTAGTCTAGTTTTTTTGCAACAATCGCCCATCGTTTCCCCGTTACATTCTTTTTAGATTTTATTGCTATGTGTTTGGGGAATTCCAAGTTTATCGTCATTATATTTTACTAATTTTGACTTACGGAGTCTGTTCTTCGAAATTCGAGTTATAAAGTATAAATATGTACTATCAATACCTCATAGGGAAATAACGTTTTGTTCGATTTATAATATAAAGTCTAAATAATTCGAGATATTGCGGTTTGGGGGTTCAGCGAAAGGGAATAAAAATTATTTACGACTTAACGAGGTTCGAGTTATAAAGGTGCCACTGTATTATAATTATCAGTCTTATGTTCCTTATATTAACTGCATAATGTTAACGAATGCCGCACGCGTAACATGACGAACTCGAAAACGTTTTAGTTTACACCCAAATGTCACATTACTCAGTAGATACGATTTCTCACTCTCGACCAGACAAAAGTGACGTTAGACAAAGCGTTTCTTGAGTATGTCTTTGCTACGCGTGCTGAAGTGCTTATATAGCCGGGATCAAGAGAAAAGCATGAGGTAATAAAGTTTTGGTCACCGACGCCATGATCAGCCTTTGTTTGCCCTCCATAATCGCAGACTGGACATGCTACTAACAAGTAGTCTAGATATATGAGCGAAAAAGGATTGGGGGGGTCTTATTACATAATCACGTTGGCATTAAATATAATTTTCATCGATGGATTTTTCTAATGAAAGTTTAATATATATTTAAAACATATCCTATGCATTTGCATGCAAAAAAATATGTATACTGTAGCACTTTTAAGTTTTATAAATAGGTTTATTTTCAAACATTTAAAGCATATAAACTGGATTTATACTATATACCGAAAAGCAGGGCATACAGCTTTTGCGGTTCTCAATCCTAGCATTGAGAGTAATTAGTATGTTAGTCAACCTGCGCACGGTGCCACAGGACTGATGCGCGGGAGTGGCCCAGCTTGTTCTTGCACGGTCCTTTGTCGTAATGGCGGAGCAGAAAGTCGTCCTGTAACAATATCAGTAGGTGTATTAATAACATAATGAAGTAGCTCGGTGGCATAATGGATAAGCGCCGCGGTCCGCGATTGTTGTCGTTAAGCAACTTTCGCAAGGGTCAGTCACGGGATGGACGACCAAAAAATGATTATCTCGAGTTAATTCGTGCTTCTGTGAGCACGTTTAATCTTTGGTCCCAAATGCAGTCGTTCTCCAGTCCTCATCGGGCCAGCGTAGAGGGTCATGACCCATCCTCCTTTACTATCCATAAGAAAAGTCTGACAAGCCCTGCGATTCTGTAAAAATATAGACCCGAATCCGAATTCACTATGTGTCCGGAGTCACGTCATTTAGTGAAGAAATTCTATTGATTCCATTTTATGTAGAAAAATACAAAACAAAACATAACTCATTGAATACCCGCGTCTCAGATATTCTATTCCTATATCATTTCGAAACTCACTTCACTTATGCCATTTACTACCCATCTTTTTATGTAACTGTTCAGTCTAACTTTTGGTTGCCCTGAAGATATTGCTTTTTAGCGATAAGGCCGCCGATTTTTATTAATTGTTATGTTAATTTTTTATTTTCAAGTACAATAAAGTGTTCATTCATTCATTCATTCATTCATTCATTATGCCATGAAACGTTATTACCAATTCAAGGTAGAGCGGATGCCACTTTTTGAAGTGAATTAGGACATCTGAGTGAATTCGAATTCGGGCTTGGATTTTGACAAAATCGCAGGGACTAATCATGATAGTATAAATAACCACTATCAGTCGATTTATATCACTACGCTCGCTCGAGAGACTCGAGAAGCAGATCGAGAGAATATCCACTCTCGGTCGATTTGGCATTAGTTAATGTGTATATGGAGAAAAAGTGCATAATGCTGTTATTTTTTAAGTACTGATTTTAAAAACAATAAATTCATAAAGGTACACGCGATTTTTTGACCAGTATATCTAACTATGCAGGGTCAATGCTACTTCTTCATTCGTCAGCCCATTGTTTTTCAAGTTTCACATTGGTTCTACTAATTAGTAGGTGTAAAGAGTTCTACACAAAACCTATATTGTATGTTAATTTGTCGATTGCATAGCATAATATAATGGATAGAGCTATTAAATTTACGTGGTTATATCGTAAGATTTATATCGTTTTAGCGTGAGATGATATGTGTAATAAGGAGTTAATAGGCAATATATTTTTATTGCTTGCATTGACAGTATTATTACTTATTTATTTATAACCGGCTTGAAGAGGTTCTATGTTTGATAGGTATCTTCATCGATTTCACCACTAATTGTATACCGATAGTCAAAATAATATTTTTTATTTGATGGGCCCGTGTTGGTCTTATATGAATTTTATGAAAATCGTATTAGTGGTTTTGTTTTGCAACAGAACTGGAAGCATTCTACCAAACAATATCGTTTTAATCGTAATACTTACTCAGTAATCATTTGTCAACTTTTAATTATTATTACCATAACAATGAAATTTGTCAAAAGTATTTTTTTTTTCAAATATTTATATTTTATTTTCATTTTAGAAATAGCTTATTATATCTATAGTTTAATTATAAATACCAAGACTTAAAAAACACAAACGGCCGATTTTAAATCTATCAGACAACTTCAATAATGTGCGAATGCCTTGTATGCAGTGAGATTTCTTAAAGAAAATTTTTGAAAATAAAAAGCCATATACCATATGACTACCATGGTGTTATTAATTTATGTAAAGAATCAAATAAATTTGCCGACTTTATGTTTTAATAAAAAAAATGATTTTTTTTAATGGTAATAGAATTAAAATTTAGTCATTAGGCGATCTCATTCATTTGATACTACTATTAGGAGGTTATACAAAAATATGCATGTGAATCGCTGTTTTATTGGAGAGGACATTTTGAATTAACAGCGACATCAATTATACATATATACCACGGAACTAAAGGTAAGAAGGAAGCGCCACTTTCTAAATTTGCAAGAGTTGAACCAAACTAAAATGTACTCACGTCGAGCGATGCGAGGCAGTACCAGCAGAACACGTGCTTGCAACGTTTGCACATCATCTGCGCGCAACCCTCGTCCTTTTCTATGGGCACGCGGCACATCGGACACAGCTTGATCAGTTCCGAGTCCGGCAGCAGTGGTGCGCTCGCGCCCGCCGATGAAGACGCTGCCGCCGCTTCACAAGACTGCCCGCTATGCCACTGAAAACAAAACAAATTAGCAAATTAGAATGTTACCTATAAGTGAAAAAACAGGTTTCTGTTATACTTTCGAAAAAAAATAATCATTTTATAACTAAATAACTTGCTTTCCGCCAGCGGTTTTGCCCGCGTGGTCCTGTAAGCGTAGCATGACGAACTCGAGAACGTTTTGTTTACATTTAATGTCACTTTTCTCGGGTGGGCCCATACCATATCTCACTCTCGACAAAGCGTTTCTCGAGTTTGTCATAATGTATTATAATAATAAACTTTCCTCTTAAATCACTCACTCTAGATTAATAAAAACCACATTAAAATCTGTTGAGTAGTTCAAAGAATCTCGGCTTACAGATAGCAACTTTGTTTTATACTATGTATATGTCGTGGCCATATCGTAGATTTGTTCATTTCATAAAATGTTCGATAATTTCATGAAATGGTCGCATTTCATGATGTGGGCAATTAAATTTGATCAGATCATTAAATCGTCAATGTTTCACGATTTTGTCATCCACATTATATTTAATAAAAATCCAGATTATTTTAAGATTTTATTTATTGTCATTTAAGTCAGTCAGCTGACACAAACAAAATTTTGGCAGACATTCTGTTTCCGATCACGCAGGAGTAAAGACATCTCACGACATCACGCTCATCTCGTTATATTTTCGTGTGAAAAATGATAAAATGGAACAAATCCACGTTGGTATACACGCCTGCAGTGTTATTTTAAAGATAGTCCTCCGATACGGACAATCTATTTGGGCTTCGTAATAGCCCCTTCGGACTACCCGCCGTTATATATTTTTTTATTAGTCTTTAGTGACTAGTCAATTAGTTATACATCTATTTTTAGAAAATAAACAAATATTTAGAAATAAGTAGGTACTTTGGTACAAAGTTACAAAAAGTAATATAAAAAATCACATGGAATGCACAATAAATGAATTAAAATTTAAAAATTCAGTCTTACAACCTTTTAGTCATTTGTTGGCGCGTGACAAGCTTTGGTGACACTTTGAAGTACAAAGTGTTTTGTTTTTGAAACATGCGCATCTTTTTGGACGGCATTGATTTTTGGCTCGCTTGCAAAAGCATTTTTAAAGCCTTGATCTCCGAATAAAGATTGGTAATTTACAGCCTCCCTCAATGATATTGGCAATTCTAATATATCTTCACAATAATCTTTAGACGACATCTGAGGTCCTGCCGTGAAAACCAATTTTTAATTGTCCCGGAACCCGTTCCGATTTTGTATACTCCACTTTCTTCATCATTTAACAACGAATTATTGTTGTTTTTTTCGCCAACGACCGCCATCTTCATGCATAAACAAAGCGCCTGCAGCGCCTCTACCAGTAATTAATGTAACTACTTTACGATATGATCGAATAATCTTGACCATTTCATGAAAAAGCCACGCGTGTAGTTGCCCATATCGAGAAACGATTTCTTATCATTGATCTGCTCAAACCACATCATGATGTGGTCAATAGACATTAAAACATTTCATGAAATGCGACCATTTCATGAAATTATCGAGCATTTTATGAAATGAGCAAATCTACGATATGGCCACGACATATAGATTAACAAAATAAATTTTATCCGAATATTATATATTTATATTAATTATATTACACTTTAAAAACTAGTAATAGTAAAACTTAAATAAATAAACTTAAAAAAGGCACTACACTTCTGTCTGGCAAGCGGCAGAGGGTGTATGGGTCTCTGCTTCGCGAACCCATGTGACTAGCTGCGCGATGGTGACACACATCGCCGTCGACCATATAACCTACTCCTTTTCGATTTTAGAAGTCAGTTAAAAAAAATAGCAAAGGTCATTTGAAAAGTGCCGTTCACAATACACGGACACCAGTCAATCAAGATGATTGGTGTGGGTATTGGGGGTTTTTGTTCAGGCTAAATACTATCGATTAACGAACGACTGTTTTCTTCACTCTTACTATTTCTTTGGAAGTTTTATTGCATATCGTCAATGAAATTTGAAGATAATGATAATTATCAATGAAATAAAAATAAAAATGACAACATTTAGTCCAATTTTAAGCGTTTTCACTTGTATTTAGTAATGTTTTCACACATATGCGTGATTTGGATGAGTGTGTATTAATTTATTTGTCGTCTGGAGCTAGGTCAAAGCTTATTACAGTAGCGAGTTAGTCAACGCTTTATGGTTTGAGATATAGACATTGCCTCTCCGATGGAATTAAGCTTAGCACTGATTGGCAATGTTAAAGATGCAGTGTAACACACGTTCAAACGAACAAAACTAACTTCCAAAAATAATAAAGATTTTATGTTGTTTTAAGCTTTCATGGTCTATTTACATTTGAATGATAGTTTTGTACGGGATTGCTACCCGTATCTTGTTTTTATAGAGTTCCCAATATTTATTGGTATTTAATTGAATCTCTAATATTACGATGTTCATATTGAAACAATTTTACTTCTTTAGTTTACAGTTCAACAAGCTGTTTCACATATTAGATAGTGCTACAGCGGAGAGCTACGTGTGAATTCGTATGGAAAATAGCGAGGGGCGATGTGCAACCACCACCAATGCCCATCCCGATTCTCTGAAGAGGGCGCGCACACCTAAATTCTTTTAATTAGTTTTGTACCAAGAAATAACGTATTTCTAAGGGGTTGTTACTATCAAAATAGGAATTTGTAAATTTGTATGAAAAAAAACATCAAGTTAGCCTTAAAATCAAATATTCTTAATAGGAAAAACTTATAAATCTGCGAGTTATCTTCTAGCTGAGGTCCATATGCCACACTTCAATAATCGTAGCGGATTACTAGTCATTAATTAAAAATTGAAATATCCACACGGACAGTTTTTCTTCTTCATGCCCAATACCTACAAATTTACCTCGTGTGTAAAAATTTAAAGTAAAAAGTAAATTTTTTCTCGTCGGCATCGTGTCTCTTTAGCAGCAATGGACAACGTTCGCGTCGTAACTTACAAATACGATCGTTTAAAAAATGTAATTTTCTACGCCTTTACCTTAAGATTATATTTCAGTATTTTGTTCACTGAAATGCGCGAAATATTTATTTTACAGAGCGAGTTTCTTATGAGTGCGACATGGATTTCGGCGTAGTCGCTCTTGGATCATTTTGATGTTCACAGGCGTCCCATACCAGCAAAACCTCACAGAGCGTGGCCGACTTTGGCGATCTTGCAGAGAACTTGTCTCTTTGTACCGCTGTATTGTGTAATAGACAAAAACTTCTCAGCTCGCGGAAAATCTGCATCTGCTTTTTTTCCAGTAAAAAGTTTGTCTCAAAACTTATGAACACGCGAGGTACATAAACTTGACGGAAACTCCATCCAATCTCGAGTGATGAATAATAATTATTCGTTTATCTTAGATTATATAATATAAATGAATTTTACTGTGAAGCTTGCAGTCTCGAGCTCATTTTAAATATAAAAAATGTTCTTTTGACCATAAGACCTTAAAGAGTAGTGTTTGCCACACAGAAAAAATAGAATAAACATAATTTTCTCAGTAGTACCCAGACAGCTACAGCTCACATATTAAGCTGTCTTTGATTGCTTGCGAACTAACGAATATCGATATTTGATAGTTGATCTCCGTTTACACCTCAATACATTTAATTAAAGAGACTTGCACATCATTTTCCTTGACATCGACTTGAACCAAATGCACTTAATGTTCAATATAATTGAAACTACTGCGTAAACACGTAATATTGTGGGTTATGTCGTCCTGTTGACCGAATGATAAACGAGCATTTGATTCAAGTCGATGTCATTACAATCGAAATCAATCACTTACGCCGTAAACCTATACGGATAGCTTACCATTTAATTAGGATCTTATGTTATACACAGTGGCGAACTAACCTCATCGGGGGCCCGGGGCGACATCAGGCCCGGACCTACAACTTTTTCCAACCGGGGCAAAACTTGATATTACGTTTACACCCCCACCCTGCTAAGACTACGAAACTGGAGATAAGAAAGATAAGGCAGTTCAAACCTTTTGTACAACCCTAAAAGAGGCCCGGGGTGGACCGCGCCCTGACCCCCCTTAGTCCACCACTGGTTCTACAATCTAAATAATGTATAATGTAAACATTATATTACTATTATATTTATTTAAATCGAATCAAATAAAAACTCGCACTAAATAAATGGAGAACCAATGCCAAGTTTTAGCAGACAATAGGCTTGTGTCCTACAAGTGAAAATACAGGTTTTTGTTATATCTTCGAAAAATATGAACCATTTTAACTTATAAATGTTTAACAAAACAAATTTTAAGTCACTGCTTTGGAAAATATTACGCTTTGAAAACTTGAAAAAAGTAGAGGAAATCTACGACAAAAATTTGCTAAAATACATTAGATATGAAAAATGTTACAACTTTCGTTATAACAGCTATAAACATAAACGCACAAATAACAAAGATATTACAAAAAATGTCCAGACGCCTATACATTTTTCGTTACTGCAGCACCGTGTGACGTCACTGAGTGCCTTGAATTTGTAGGGAGCGTTTTCGGCCAACTAGCAGCAGTTCTACAAACACAGCACCGTATCTCCGAAACTATTAATCGCAGACATGCTGTTACTTTCACATTATTTCTCAGATGTTAATGGACTATTTATTTATGAAATAAAAAAAAGTTGTCAACTAGCCTAGCTATTCATACCTCTGTATTTTTTGTTTTATCACTAATTCATATACAATGTGATGTAGTTACAAAAACGCATAATGGTCGCAAAACTCTTTTATATAAAAATATACCAAAACGAAGACAATTGTGTAATAAATTATGCGTGCACGCCGCAAGATGTCTCAACATGGCATTGTAATTCTCTATGCAAAGTATCAAGCCAACGTCGGTGAGAATAAACAATGAGCGCCTGTCAAACCACGCCTCAGTGGACGAAGTTTAAGGTTTATTGTTACAAGAATTCAAAAGTTTTGCAATAACATAAAAAACTTCTAGAGGGTACACACGGAGATATTGCTATGTTCTTCAATGCGATCGCCTAATTCTCTAGCCATAGGACGGTCACATTTGAGAATCCCGGTAAAACAAATGTCAAGAAATAAGCATTTGTACATATTTACAATAAATGTTATTGTATTTATTTGTACACGTTGATGATTCATTGTGTATCTTGTATTTGTATATCTGATAGATAAAATAAAATTTATTTGACTGTGACAAAATACTCATAATAATTTCGACGTAGATCTTTTCAATTTCTTTTCAAATAAAACTTATTCGATTATTATTTCTTTGTACAAAACCAATTAAATATCAGTGAATTTTAGGTTATTTGCCCTCTTAATGAAAAACTCTATTTTTAATTGATGATCATAATAATATAGAAATCTTATCAGCAGTTTTTAAAATTAAAACGTTCACCCCCTGTTGCATAAACGTCCATCAGGTGTGGTGACTTTTACCTCTAATGAATGTTTTACACTTGAAAATTTTGTATCGATAAACGATACTTTTAATGGAAGTTTGAGCAACAGGGTGTCAGACAGATAAATGTCATTAAATAGTTTGTTATAATATGTAAAAAGCAAACATTTGATTGTTTGTTGACAATGAATGCGCTTCGAAAGTATAGAAGACCTATTTAAAAAATTCTTTCACTGAGCTTTACGAATATATTTATGTTGGGAAAATCGAATAAAATAGGAGTGGGGTAAAATCTATCTATCGATAACGTTAGAAAACGATTGAATGGTGTCTTCTAAAGCTGTTTCACGGTAAATTGGCTTCAACATAAATAGCTACTCTATCGTACATAGAGCATTGTGGGCTCGACCTAGTTCAGAGCCGGTGAATAGGGCAATAGGCGTAAGTATATATTTTCTAGAATGTTTTCAATATTCGACAGCTATGATATTGCTATTTTGTTGGAAGTTTTCACATAAATTGTGGTTTTTATACCAATATTGTATTTAAGATGGAAAGTAACCGTTTCCCTATTTTTGATTATATTATATTAAGGGATGGTACGAGTGATAAATATATATTTATATCTATAAATACGCACGCGACAAACAATTAGGATTATTGTAACCTTATGCCCGTTTTCACAAAATTTAGGATTCACCCAGACTTGTCGCCTAAATATTTAGGAATCGCCTAAGGTACAAAATGCATTTCACCATTGACTAGGAACCACCTAACGAAATTAAGCAATGTATAAAGTTATGATATTCGTAATGCGGCGCCTTGCGCTAGGCGTGTGCGTATATAAGAAGAAATATTTATTTGGAATTAAACTAATTAGGCGATTCGTAATATTAAGTGCTTCCTAGTTAGCTACGCCTTGTTCTAGGTTAGAAAAGATGAGTGTTACTTAATCCCAACCTTCCTCAGTAAGAATTTGAAGCTAAATCTGTCGTACCACTCTCTGCAGTCTCTAATTCTATCATCATGTCTGAAAATATCTCAAATGGTAAACTTTAATGTACCTAACTGTTATTTTATCAATATGATTTCATAAATATACATTTTACTCTGAGACACGTTAATTATCACCGGCCTATTCATATCCTCACTGCTGAGACATTCTCTATGAATGGCATAGAGAATGGGTCATGTGACCCCACTATGCGGATTCAGTGCTGATTGGTAGGTGTCAATTATAGATGCAGCCTGAGTCAACGGCTAAATGTGCTTCTGAAGCATGGGCGAGCTCGAGACAACCAATTTTTGGTCACCCATCCTATGGCCCTTGAGAAAGTTGCTTAACTTCTACAGAACCTGTTTAGCTCGCTCGCTAGCTAGTTAACTACTCATAATAGAAATATTAATATAGTTTATTTCTTAGTGTAGTGGTTTTTTTTTAGCCGCCATTTTAATTTCACCTCGTTGAATTTGAGGCAGTATAATATGATACATTAAATTTAAAAATAAAAGACCTCCAAGAGGACACCGTTAATTATCAAGTTACATTCACTCGAAAACGAGTCTTATTATTTGACACTTTTAAGATTGTAGGCTTACTTTCGACATGTAGTGCCAATAACGCAAAAATATCAACACATAAATTGACGATAAGCGCCGAGATAAAATTTTATACCGCAATTACAGAATTGTTAAGATCAGTTACTTTGGATGTCCGCATTATAACTGTATAATTTGATTTATGTTTAATAAAATAAAACCGACTGTTGTAACGGTAATACGAGTATAAAATTATGTTTGTCTATACTAATATTATAAAACATTAGATAGTTTGTCTGCTTGCATTCAATAGGCTCTGAAAATACTGGACTTATTTTGAAATTCTTTCATCTACGGGAAGCTACATAATACGCAGGTGAAATGGCTATAATTTACGCGACCGAAGTCAAAGGAAAAGAGCCAGTAATATATATTTATGGTTAAAAAAACATCTTCATGTACGTTTGTTTACGTCCATTACTTATTGGAAAAATAACAAAATAGACCTTATTGAGATAAGACCATGAGCTACAATCAAATCTCTTGAGCCTGCATAAAAGGATAAGGTATTTGAAGATAACAGTCTGTGGTTGAGACACTGGATTAACTCGCAATTTGACTCTGGTTTTACTGAAAGCGATGGCTGATTTAGATAGGCTATATATACATCTACATATAAATTCTGTCACCATCAAATAACAAACATGGGTATACCTTATCTATACTAATATTATAAAGAGGAAAAATGTTATTGCTTGCTTACATCGAATTGACTTCCAAACTAATGGAGCAATTTTTAAAAACACGCGGGTGAAAGCGCGGCAAAACACCTACTAACTTATAAAAATGAAAGCATACATATCGAACCTGTGTACAGGATTGTACTCGGCAACTTAAAAGTAAGCCCAAAGGGAAAGTTAGCAACCTATATAATGTCGTTTACTTTAGACACGTACTCTCGATTAATGCTCGATTTGAATAATATGGGCGGAATTAATAAAAAATCTTTATATTTCACATTATTTTACAGCGGTACATTTTATTAACCGTACCTTAGACCAATATCAAATAGCCGGTGTAATTTGTTTAATAATACATCTAGAGGACAAGTCTTGTATTCCTTAAAAAAATCACAATCATGGCTTTAGTTGAAAAATAGAGACGCTACTTAAAAGGGTTCATCCTTTATTTATTTCTCGTAATAATGCGACGTATCTTTCCGAGTTTCAAAGGAACAGAGAGGCGTGGGATAAATACTACATACACAGAGCTTCACTATACTATAGAAGCTTCCAAAAAAAACTGTTTCATACCAAAATGCATTTTACTACTCAATAACATTCTTGTTAGTCTTATTCGAAGCCTTATCTAAAGAAACAATGTTATAATAAAAACGCCAATTAATAAAACTAGTAAGATATAAGAAATTAACTTGGTGCCTGAGTACACAACTTTTACAAATTGTGTTGTCACTGAGCAAACGTTGACGTCGCTTAGAAAACTGTATCTATATAAATTATTATTTGATGTGCAGACTCACGCATCAGTAGCAGGCCGTTGGTTATTGGTGTGGTGTTATAGCAAAAGGTCGGAATTTTAACTTCACGATATATCTACTCTGGTTACGCAACATAAACTTCATTAATGTTTTTAAAGACGAACTTTACTTAAGTCAGATTTTCAAGGTCATCAAAGCCGTCATTGAGTTAGAACGTCCACTGCTTAAGAGTCTTGACCACCCTAAATATTATCTTGGACCAGAGATCTTGTAAAGACAAATTAAACGAGCCCAAAGTCGCCGGGGTTTCATTATATAATTATTAAATTCATATTTATGATTATTTTCATTATTATACCCAGGACATTATCCCGGACAACTCCTTGTCAATATAAATAAGTTTAAAATCGATGGATTTTCTTAGTTTAAGAAAATTCATCGATTTTTATCCCATAGCAATTTTTCAACTGACAGAGTCTGAAGGTAGCCGGATTAGCTCCAAAATTTCATCTCAATGGACAACCCGGTTCTTAATTAGCAAGATTTGCCAGTCGAAAAGAACTCACCTCCTGATTACACTGCGTGCAGAACTCATGCCGGCAAGTGAGGCAGTGAGCTGGGCTGGCGGCACGCACAGACACCACCGTGTCGCATCCGACGCGCGGGCAGAACGCACGGCCCGAATCCATTGCCACTTCTGTAACGAGAAAATATGGTTTTATTACCTATAATAGTATGCCTGGATATAAGTTTATTTTTTGGATAGAATGGTGAAAGAATGGAAAAAAATTTTTAGATTAGGATTACATATTAAACAAAAAGAAAATAGTAATTATAATTTAACGCATATTGCATCTGGTGCGGTGTTCAAAAGGTGTCAGCTCGATTTCTGTTGTAGATAACAGCAACCTCGATTTTCAGATGACACCTTTGAGTTGTGATGTTTTGCATGTCGATATATCTCAAATAGCGTGCTTTTGACTAACATTCATTCCACCGACATTAACATTAGCTGTGATTTGACAGACCAAAAGCAAGTTGCTGTAATAAACATAAGATCACGCTCCAAATCACGTTGTAGGTAGTTGGCTGAACTAAAGTTTAATAGTGGCCAAGTAATTGTTGACAGAGAGAGAAAAATATAGAGAAATACCAGCTACATCGTTGTTTCCCAGCTTCTTGTCCGATTCATCCGATTAATAAAAACCCGCTTCACTTCGATCACTGTTGCGCTTTAATAGATAAGGACTTATGCACACATACTTAAGGTAAGGTCAAACGAGCAAGTCATACAAACAAATACAACGTATAAGTTAACATGATTTTACGCTTTTGGAAAACTATAGATTTAAGATCCGTATTGCAATGACTATCATTTCCCTTCGTGTCTCGATTAAAAATTATTAAATAAAACCAGTTCACCCAGATTACTTTAAATATGCATTGAACGCACTCTCTTTTCACTGGAGATTAAAAACAGAGACATAAATGAAATCATTAAATCTACACTTGATTGTGTAGTGTGTTTATCTTTAAAACTCATTAATCTCTGAACTATCGCTCGGATCTGAATAAAGCTTTTTGTGTTTGATCCAATTTATGAATAAAATTTGAAACAATCAAACGCAGCAGGGATTACAAACAGTAAAAGGTCAACTGACATCATCAAAATATCACCAGAACACTTTAAAGTACAATAAAAAACAAAATGGGCTCAACCATCAAGCTCGGTCGCTGTCACGGTCGACCGTTGCCCTTTCCATAGACTTTACGCGGGCGGAAGCCGCGGCGATTGCGGCAGCCCGTCTGCAAGCGGTTGTTCGATTGAACGCGTCCTTACACAAGGAAAACTTGATCCAAGCGGGTGCCTTTTCCAGAAAACAATATAAACATCTAGATTCTCAAACTTGGACTACGTTCACAAGTTATACAATAAAATACATTGGCCAGAAATAAAAAATAAGTCAATATGACATGGATAAACGTCTAATATATTTGATGTAGGTACAACATTGAATTCTTAATATGAAAAATAAACTCTACCCGCGTATGTCAGAAAAAAAAATGTATACGGCTTCTTTTCTGGATCCCATTTTGCGAAACATGTACTAGATTAGAGTATATCATATCACATATGAGATCGATAGACGTATTACATACCTTTAAAGTTATTAATACGTTAACATATATTCTTGAAGCTGTGTGAAACGGAAGTCGATAAAGGTTGTGTATCTCGTGTTTTTGCCGTTAATACCAGTCACTTCCCGTCAGCGACCGTGCAAAACTAGTAACACAGTAGTGGATGTGTTTAAAAATAATCGTCGCGCAACCAGTCGAAAGACTATGTTACAAAATGTGTGCGGTGCATGCAATAATTCATGATCGATCGTACGCGAAGGAAGTTTTAACGTGAGGCATGTATTTTATGCAACCCAACAAATATTTGCTAGGCGAAGTATAGAAGTATATACAGAACTTAGAAAATCGTAAGCAAGTACGCTGTGTAACATGAAAATGTCTGTTGCCACAACCACATATAAGTCTAGTCTAGGAGCTAGTCAAAGTACAGAGCCATGCCGCTCGGAAACATTTAAGTCCTACCACCTCATCATTATCAGGGATTCACATGGGCCTCCCTTGTCGCACATCTCGTGTATCTTTGAGACCCTAATGGTCGAACGAGGCACTTTTCGGTGTTCAACCCAACGGCAACAAAGACACGGTTGGCAAAATATCGTGCATCGATCTTTATTACCTTTTGCGTTAATAAAGCAACAATTCAACATAAGGCAATAAAATTTCCTCAGTCAACTTTTATGACTTGTACGAAATGATAAATGATATCATAACTTAAATAAATGATATCATTTCTTGTCACCATCAATTAAAACACGTGTAACGGCTCCACGCTCTTACGTGTCATTTACCGTACTTCGTAATTGTTTTCAGAAATAATGCCAGCTGGCATTCCACTAACGAATAATGAGCAGTTGTCAGTCTTTGGAAATCGGTTCTGAAACTAGCTCGGAACTAGGTACGACAATAACGGCGCGAACCCGTATCGAAATAAAAGAGCAAAAGCTAATGGAAATCGCCAATTTCACGGCACACTTCCCGTGGGCTCTTTGTGTTGGATAAAGGAGGTCGTACGCCAACGCCCTTAGCACAGTTCATGTGACGGTATACAGAAAGGGATTTCGGATGTTAACTCGACCGTTTTCAGTTATTTATTAACTATAATAAAGGGTTAAATGTCTCAATAACCTTTAAGGGAGTATGGTTCCATTTTGACGGGTAGAGTATTCCGTTATGCTTATAATATACACATATGAATAGCCTTTATAAAATATTAATATAACTACAGAATGTGACGTAGATATAGCAGTATATATAGAATGCTATCGAATATTCTATTAGCTGGAGTAGAACGTTCATTTTCGTGGTGATAACCGAAGCCGGATTATTCAATACACCAAACACTTGCCTTCATTATTAGTGTCATAATTTATGAATTGTCACGGAATAATGATTGTTTCGTTTAGAAAAAATTGGAAAAATATTTCTTTCCCTATTCTTGTCTTTTTGTCCTAGATACCATGTATCCGTTTCGAATGCTCGTTTTGGTATAACAATATAATCGGACAACAAACAACACCATAATTTTATTGTTTAAAAAGACTTCCACATTTAATTCTGTGCATATTATTGTAGTTTGTCTGTCCTTATGTCGATAGAAATTATTAGAGCATTACACAGAAGTAAAATATCATGATGACGATAAGTCACGGTCATTGACCATGGTCAAATACTGTTGCAGTTGAAACTGATTAATCATTTCGAACTAATTGACATTCATTTTGAAGTGTATTATGTCATTGATTATCATGTAATGCAATCAGAGACTCTCCAGTCAAACTTCATTGAGTTTTAATGACGGGGCATTTAAAACTTACATTAAATGTTTAAAATATCTTTATTATGATGATATTTTACATTTGTACGATAGATATACTACTATAGATGGCCTCTAACATATGTATGGTCGACCTTGCTAACGAAGATACTGGAGATACTGGATTCCACGAGTTTATTTAACATTGAGAAGACTGCAAAGAATATTACTGATTTTTAATAAACAATAAATCAAACAAAATTATCGTATTTGTATGACCACAAATCAAGATAATATTGAATGTTACTTTGTAATATAAAAACAACCTTAAATGCCTAATGAACTGTTATTTAAATACTATTTGGTTTTTAGTTGAATGTTGACTGACTGACTTGAATTAAATGAAAATGATGACTTTGTACAAAAACAATTAAGGTAGATAGACTATACATATTCCCAGGTGAGAGATGAAGCGCGAAAGGGGAATCGTATAGTTGTCATGGAATATATTGTGAGTGAGTGAATGGTTTCGCTGTTGGTTCGTCGTTCGATGTTGTCTTTTTACGATCAGCAGAGCAATTCCGTAAACATCTGAGCCAGAATTCGAATTCACTCAGGTGTCCGGGTTCGGATTCGAATTCGGGTTCGGATTTATACGGAATCGCTCTGCAGCACCATCTTAAAGTTTGTGAGTAGCATTTCTCTTGCTACCACGATTTGTGTTTGGTTTGCTACGTGACCTTCCACATTAAAATTGATATAAGAACAGATAAATTAAGACACTGACTCACCGAAAACTACTCGATTTTCGTGGCAAGCTTGACGTGGTAATCCAATGAGATGGAGTTAACACTTCATTATCAATGAACACGCGAGTAAGGTCCTGCCTCCGGAGGCTTCGAAGGATCAAATTGATTTATGAACATGAACGACCTCACATCAAGATTATATTAAATGACAAAAACTTAATAATATAAAAATAGCTTCATTATGTATTCAATTGTAAAATATATAGTATCTTATGAGTCGCGAGTTGAACGTGGTCTAACTTAAATGAAATAAAAATGATGACATGATAAAAATAAAATGTAGGTTAACAGACCGTACAGTTTTCAATAATCAATATGCAACATTTTTAACAAAAACTGAATGTTTTGGTTCGTTGACTCTAATAATCTTTTTATTGTATTTGATCAATTTCGCTTTCATAATGCTATACTGATAAATATTCTTAATAAAAAAGGGTTTCAAAAATCCACGTGGTCCCTGGCACCCTGAGATGGGATCCCAACCCAAACCGAGCAGAGAGCAGTCGCCCAGATTGCGAAAGGTCATGGGAATCGAACCCAATCTCAGGGTGCCATGGATTAACAACATAATCGTACAACAAACAACAACAACAAAATATGTACATATACATATATTACAATGGAAGGTGGATTTTTTAAGCATTTTTCATTAAGAATATATAATATTCTTTTGTCAAAATAGCAATCTGCGAAAAAATCCCAATCAATATCTATTTTTACTCATGTCTGTCAATGAAATGTTGATTTATTTAATGTTACTTAGATAAATTTATCAGAAACTTAAAAAAAAAGAAACATATGCCGAATGATAAAGTTAAATAAAAACCTGTCGTCTAATAAAAGAAACGGTTATTCTTAGAAATGTTTTATATAAAAATATATTACCAGTTTAGCAGACGATCCTAGAATATTTTTAAATGTTATTTTATTAAAGAGTAGCGCCCACGTTCTAAAAAAACCGAGTAAATTTGATATATTTTCCTTATTAAAAAACTTTTTCTACGTTTAAAGTCTTGTTTATTTTATATTGCGCATTTAATGCGTAACTTAATTTAAAAATTTGTTTATTGACTTATATAAGTGAAATGAAATAGTGAGATAAAAACACAGCAAGTACTTTAGGGTTAAAGTACCAATTAAGCAAATAATAATGAGTTATGATTTTGGCATGGTAAAAGATAGAACGTCATAACCTTTTAACTGTTAACTGTAACTGCCTAAGTTTCGTTGGTTAAAGATATTGTTTTACTATGCCAAGAAAGAGGATGGTGTAACGTGGAACGATATTGTCAAATTTGACATATACTTTAACTGCAACTATGGTGCGAGACTAAATCTTTTATAAGCTTGTCAAATATTGGTTAAAATATTAAGAATAACTTAAAAGAGTAAGTAGAATCCATCAAACAGAAAGTTAAAAGGAACTACACGAATATCTGTCATTATGCTATATATTCACTGTTTTCTAACCATTTATTAGGTCACGCGAAGAGACACGTTCGCACGACACGTACGGGGGTACGCACCTACGTTCATGTGTTCATAAAACAGCTAACGTGTGACAAGTGCTACGAGCACTCATGACAGGTCTGACAAGAAAAAATATGGTTTGTCATAGAAGCTATTACGGAAATAGATTCTCTACCTAAAAATAAATAGGAAGGTAAATAGTAGATACTAAGTAGGAGGCACGAACTATGATGACATATGATGTTTTAGATTTTCTTGGAAGCTATTTGAAAAATATTATGTTATATAATTGAAGGTAAAATAAATTGTGTTTGAAAAGACGGAAAAAAAGGAAAACCACAAATTGTATCAAAACAGGATTAACAAGCAATAATAGGATTAAGTATCGGTACATTTTTATAGTCGCAGCGTTGCATTTCATCGTTCGCTAAACGTCAAACTGATAATTATATGATTTGACATTCAACCTTATCACTAAAACTAGATCAGAGTTTCCAAACCTTTCTTGTGTTGAAGCTCCCTGGACTATAAATAATATTTACGTGATCCATTTTACTTTTTCAATAAAGACAAAAAGCATTATCTCTATATCTGCACATACTGCGACATATGAAGTCGAGTTTTAAGAGAAGAATAAGTGAACGTGATTTAGTAATCATTAATTTTACATTCTTTTCCTCTTATTTTTTTAATGCAATGGTGATATTCTACTATAGGGCTAGCCGCCTAATTGGATGAATGTTTTACCCAGTTGGCTACGACATATTCATTATATGTTAACCTTAATGTTGTTTTTATAAATGCACTCAAAATCTCATCAATTTCAACTCGAAAAAAATACAGCTGTGAGTTTAAAAGTCGACAAAGCAATTGATCGTCTATTTATTTTGGTAAATGTCTGGTAATCTCTTATTATATAATATAATAAGCGACAAAGAGAATAGTTTAATTATTCCATACTAATATTATATAGTGAAAGTAGGTCTGTGTATGTGTCTGTTAAGCTCTCACGCCTATGCCAGTAAAAATAGTTGACTTGAGATAGGATATAGGTTGTTTTTTATTGTGATAAAAAAGTTGAAAGAGGGATTTAAGTATTGTATGGAAGTTCGTCATTTACAAAGAAACAATCATGAAACTCTATATGCAGGAAATAATAATATTTGTTTTAGCGTTTTTAGAAATGTCACTATACCTAAAGTAACTATACTACGCGGGCAAAAGCTGGTTAATAAATATAATATAGCATCACATGCATCACTCAAAATCACTTGTCTTATTGGAAATATGAAACAATGAAAGTAACTCAACAGCCAGACGCAAAAAAATATATAAAATATAGAAAAGTTCATATCATACATTGGACCGGTCAAGAATGGAATCCGAGCCCTCAAAAATGGCGTGCGAGTCAAACGGCCACGGATAATTGAACTCCTTATACTCTGTATTTATTTCTTCTTTCTCTAATCGTTTTAAGGGCTACACACCATGATTCAGTCGGAACTTGAGATGCTTTTCCATTACAGCTGACTCCACCAGTGCCGATATCTCGTCGAGGGACAGTGCGGCGCCGACACGGCACCGTGCGTCGGGACAGGACACCTCGTACGCTCCATTGCATACTTCGAATTCTACGTACGCCTTCATACACTGTAACAATAGTAACATAAATATTAGAAAGCATTGTATAAATTAAATATGGGAAAGGGGCACGTTCCGAAATCAAATTGATCGCAAGCTAACGGAAGGTAATGTGGCGCAATAAATCACGTTTGTTGTCTGGGAGATCCCTTTAAAAAAAATTATACAATTTGTTGTTATAGAGGCATCAGAAATTATCTGTGAATAATAAATTTCAACTCTCTAGACAGACAATGAAGCCTTTGTATCACTAAGGCCTCGTTTTTAGCCATAGGTGAGTTTGATTTTTACATAAAAAAAAGTCAAGAATGAACCACAAAAACAGTCAAGTGAATTCCAGGGTATACTTGTTATTATCTCTTACAAACATAATGTAATTTTCTCTTTAAAAAAACATGAATAAAGGTCATACATAATACATTTATCGGAATACATCCAACTTTAAGGGCGTAGGCCTTCGTATTCCAATTAGGTAAGTGGAGAGTAAACAAACAATTAGAGTGAAATGTTAGTTCGCGTGGTTCGGGGAAGGCGATTGCGTACTATTTTTATTATTATATTAAGGGGATTACATCACCCCAATCGGAGAAGTTTGCCGAGAAAGCCTTTTAAGCAAGTTTTGATTAAAACAGTCGCCCGGATTTCAAAAGGTTATGGATTCGCATCCCATATCCTACACCTGGGTCTGGTGAATTTTAGATAAATACAAAATATATGTTTAATTAAACGTTACAGAAGACATATTGTACTATTAAAAAAAACAAACTCAGTCGTATTAATAAATATAAACCTAAAGGACAGCATAGTCGTATGATACAACAGTTTGTTTTGTTATGATCAGTGGCACATACGACTACGCTGTCCTTTTGTAATTGCTATTATAATATAGCTATCGCTTTAAAATAAATTTCTTGTTTTAAACTTTTTAAAGCGTGATTTTGCTGTTTTAGTTTTTGAACAATTTTTTTTTATATCCTTTGGGTACGGGACCCTATAAATGGTCTTTCTAAGCTTCCAAACAAATTTTCTTCGAAACGAATTATTAGAACATGAATATTGTATCCAAATAAGCTACGACGTCTTTTATAATTTGCATTGTTTATATATTTCGATTCTTTATTCTTTTAAATAATAAAGAAAGCTTACAAATCTATGCCGATAATTTTAGAGTCTAGTTTAGTGAGCAAATGTTGAAGGTAATCAAAGGCCTTAATTTGCTAAGGTATCACAATAAATGCCTATAAATAAAATGAAATTGTTAAATTAATTTTGATGTCTGCTCTTTATCTCATTCAATCAACAAGTGGATGAAAATAATATTTTTACTTCATCAAAGCAACAGGCCAATTCCGTTAATGTTTAAGTGATAATCGCATCTCAATAGAATTTTAACAACTTTCATTTTATAATTGTATTATCTACCTAAAGTCCAATATTATAAGTGCAATGTCTCCCTCGCACATTAATTAATGGTGACAGATATTTAAAAATATTGGACTTCAGGTAGATAGTACAATTATAAAAGGCAAGTATGGAGTTGAGATGGTATTATTACGTAAACATTCCAGAAGCGGCCTGCAGGGCGGAAATAGCATTTATTCTAGCGGGCGGACAATTTTTAATTAAATGACGCAACGCCATTGAGTTTGGGTTCGTATGATATGTTTACACAGCCTAATGGTCAAACAATGGATTGTTATTAAAAAGGAAATTTTTATTGTGAATTATTTTCTTTGGCTACTAAGAGGAACTTGCTTTTTTTCGTAGTAAAAGCATAATAAAGTACTAACTTTGCGCCAGCAGCTTCGCCCCGGGCGAAGTCCTGCAATATTTATAACCTTTCTATTGAATGAAAGTGTATATTGATTAAAACCGTTGTGTAGTTTAAGCGTAGAGACAGCGACAAGGGACTTTGTTTTAAGGAGTTTCAAATTTTGCATGCGGGTTCTTTTTATTATGTGGGTACCCCTAAGGACCCCCCCCCCCCTAAGCAGTAAATTAGGGGATGAAAGTTTTTATTGAATTTTCTCATTTCTTGACTTCAAAACTATATCATCCGGGCGAAGCCGCTGGCGAAAGGTTAGTACTATATATATGTAGATCAATATGTCCCTAAAGGTCAGTTATTACTATACGATTACTTAAGTTGTGTGGTTATTAACTAGTCTATACATGTCGGGTCAAATGTAAAGTAATTTGTAAATCATTGCCTTAACCTCCCATAAATAGTTTTCTAATCGTTACCTACTAAGCCAGTTTATATTACAGCCTTCTGCTGTGACGTCACCGAAAAGATGACAAAACTAGACAGCCTAGATTTTCCACGCGAGCGCCTCCAGTGAAAAGACACTTATTAAATGCCAGCTGACTTATCGAACCGACATTGAAATGATACCGTACAACCCTTGAGAGAAGTGCAAATTCAATTACTTATGAACATTCATGCTGCTCATTGCTGGATTAAAATGATCCACGTATGATTTTGCTACTAGCATTTAATATGGGCATGTTTTACGAGTTTTTATAAAACAAAAAATAAATAAATGAAATTGACGTAACCTCGATAAAATCGGTAAGTACAGCAAAAAACCTCACACACAGAAGATTTATTTATTCTTTATTGCAATTAACAACACAAAAGGCATAAAGGATACCAATTGAATATTAATTTTAAAATAAACCATTGACTTACAAGTTTCCCTGGAATTTATAGCAAGACTTGAAATTGTTTCAAGTTTATTTAGGTAAAATCTAAACCTTTTATTTAGTGTTTAATACCAAACATAAATAACCAAATAGGTTTATTATTAATATAGAACCTAATTACGATGTTCTATTGTTATAAGATTGTTTATAGTCTCTTGTAATTGTCACCTTCCGATAGTATGGTGTGCATCAAATAAATGATCTATAATTCATTGAAATATTTGTTTTACTCTGTCTATAACATTTAGGTATAACCGGTTTGCATGCTATGTTCCGGTCCAGAGGAGAATTAATAATAATAGATGTACAGGAGTATGTTGGATAAAAAAGAAACCAGTTAAATCAGTTTGTAAAGTGCAATATCCGATCGCGATTGCGCACGCCCTTGACAATATTTATGGGTTTATAAAAAAATCAGGAGAAACGGGCACCGTTTCGAGCATATAACCAACATTACAATGTAAACGAGATTATTAGTTTCGCTTGTACTTTGGTCAAACCGGTAACAAATAATCCGGTTTTATGCCCTATTCTATAGTTTATTAATAGCGTTTGGTTAATTCACTCATTGATCCTTCGAGCCGGATTAAAAAATTTAATATTATCCCTTTTGTGATTAATACAAACTAATACGTAACCCTATGAATAGAGTAACACTACTAAATTAACCTTCAGAGTAACGACAATTACATAATGATACAATTTAACGTAACTGCAATGATGTTAGAATGTATAGGGTAAATAAATATTATTACTATAATTACTTATTTTATACAACACTTGTTATTGATTAGATAATCTAATAAATGCAACGATGTCTAAAGACATTTTTTAATATTATGTAATTGTTTTAAATAAAATTGTTTCTTAAATAACAATGTGAAGTATTTTCCTGTCCGGGACCTTTATCAACCGTATAACGAATCCAAATTTAATAGGAATTAAGTTTTTAATCGATTAAAAAAAATATACTTTTAATGAACAAAAACTATAACAGGCAATTCATGTTTGCTAACTATTTATATTGTGTGTGACACAACAAATAAAAAGCTTCTTGTGAGTATCTTAAATTAAAATATATTTCGTTTATGATTTTAAATTCTTGCGCTTTTAATAGATAATGTTACGAAATCCGAATCACACTTGGCCGGTTACTATTGTTGTTTTTCCTATATTTTTAATGCACATTAAATTTACACATTTGAGTTTGGGAATATATTAAATTCAAATTCAAATTATTTTATTGCATGTCACATTCTTACAAACAAAGAGGATATTAAATGTCGATATAAAGTTTACACCTTACAGCACTTCGTCCGGATTAAAAACTGCTACATATTGAGATCAAATATTCGAAGCCTCTCATGAAATGAGACGCTTGTAAAGGCTCCGATATTAGTAATATAGAAATATTTACGATTACGATAGAAATATTTCCGCCGTGGGCTATTGAATAGCGGCGGATGGCTACGAAGTCTACCGGGGAACGATGAAAGGTAAAAGTACTTGAACAAACACAAATAAAACATTTCATATGAAAACAAAGTGAAGCCGCGTAAATAATATTCTTTTCCACTTTAATGTTATTGAAAACAATTTCTTAATTTTCACTAAGAGTGCACCACTATAGAAACTTCTGCGGGTCTAGAGTATAATTGACTTCGCATAACGTTCAGTAAAAATTTGAACCTACCACGTATTGTGTACAATTGTGTATCTGAAAAGGCGCAAATCAATCTGAACGGAAACCATCGAAGGAGGCGAAAGAAAGTTATTTGTATGAAAAAATATGAACCACTGTACACCAGTATCAGCCGAATCGTCAGAATTTATCACTGCCACTTGTCCCGTCATAACTTACGAGATGTAAAGACAATTGGTTTCGTTAGCCTCCTTCGGTTTGAATTAATCTGATATCAATGTAAGACTAATTAAAGACAACAAACGGCAAAGTAACCAGACGTTTTACCGTCTGGTGTAACTGTTCAGTGTCACCAATGCGGATGATATGAACTTAAAGCTTGAAACTTGAAGCCACAGCCGTATCGAGAAAAAAAAAATATTCTGATATTAAATTTCTCACGGGTCATTAATGTTTGATTTTTATGTAAACCCTACCAAAATTGCATCATACCTAGAAATGCTTGCTAACCGATTTGTAAAGGTGACATAGCTTAAACTAGTACGAATCTTGATTTTGAGAGTAGCGTGGTAAGAAGGTAGGAATTATCGATACCATAGGGAGGTGAAGTCGTATACAATAAAAGAGCAACTTAACAAGACTGACACAAACCTTTATAATT